TGAACAAACTTAAATATAATATATTCCATTAAAATTTACTCCTCTTAATAATATTTATAAAATCTAAGTTACTTAGCTGAATAATCAATTAAATTTAAAATTTTATATTTAATTAATATTTATTAACTATAAAATAAAATTAAAAATTTTTAATAACTTTTTTTAAAATTATATAAATTAAAATTATTTTAAAATTATTTTATTAAATAAAATATTTTTTTAATTAAGTTAATTTTTAATTTTTAATTTTTTTTAAAATAATTAATATATATTTAACAACTTTATATATAATAAATTAAAGTTAAATAAAAAACTATATAGTCTTACTATAACTTATATGCTTGAAATCTAATTATTATTAAAAACTGAAGTAGTTAATTAGTTAGTTAAAATAAGTCTTTATTTATAATTAAAAGCTTAATTACTCTATATAGTTAATATTTTAGTTAAATGAGTAAATTCTTATTATATTATACTCTAAAATATGATTTACTTGCTTCTATGATTTACTCTTTATGAATTATATTAACAAGTTAAGAAAAACTTTAAAATGAGTTAAATTGAATAAACTACAAGTCAAAGAAGCAGGCTTTATAAAAATGTAATAAATGTAGAGAAAAGAATTATATAGTTAATTTAAAATTATTTATTAAAAAAAATTATATTATTAATATGTGTATTTCTTATTTACCATCATTATTTAATAAAATTTATTCAGATCTTAAAATTTAATGTTCGGGAGAAAATATGTTCTAATAACTAGCCAAATGAGCGGAATTACATTAACTGTTCAGGTGTTGCAAGCTTTCTAATCCTCACATTTGATTTTACTTGACATGGATGAATCTTCCAGCCCTTAAAATAAAAATATCTTCATCATCATTCAAATTCCATTTGGCATTTTACTAGTAGTTCAAAGTTACACACCACTCCCCACGGTCCTTCTAACCACCGTTCTTAAACCAAACCACTGTTAAATGTCGATCTTCCTATTGCAAAACCTTCTTCATCCATAACTTACAAAAGCTGTTCCACTCCAGAAGCACCCGTTCTTTTACCCCAATATCAGCTTCCATCCCAACACCCGACAAACCCATAGACCAGGCTTACAACATCTGCCCGGTCCTTCACTTCGTTTGACAAAAGTTTCCAGACTGGTTCCCGTTCCTACCCACCCAAGATACAGAGCCAATTGAGACCGTAACCGACCTCTTTCTGTGCTCTCTGGTTGCCCAATTATCGCCTGTGTACCCCCTCTGTCCCTACAGATCCCGGTTTTGGCTCCTCAGTCTTTCTCCTTTATAAGCCCTTGTTTCATTTGATTTTCAACTCCAAGGCTCTCTCTGGCCTAGCTGGATCCGGCGGTTTCTCCAGAGGCGTCGAGGAGTTGAGTCGAATTCGGTATGGAAGCTCTATTCTATTATTCTCACGATGCATCTCTATATCTTTCCGAGTCTATCTCACTCTCGCCCCCGCCTAAAGCCTCCTTCCCCTCTTTCTGCGTTACTTTGGGCTGACTGTAATAATGGTCCCTTTCCTTAATGCTGCTATTATTGTGATGATTACAGACAGACACATCCAGTTTCCCATAGAAAGACAAACCAGCCACAGATCCACGGAGCTGGATCTGGATCTTGGTGTCAGCACTGGCACAAATGGAGGTAAGACACTGCTTCGTCTTCTTCTTCTACTTCTTCTCTCACCCATGGCATCCACTGCGCTTGGCTGTCTTTTTCGCTTTCTACCTGTTGTCTGGTTGTCTTGGGTATACATATGCTCTCGGCTCCTGAAACCGGATGTGCTTAATTATTTGAATTGATGATACCCTTTGTGTATGTGTGCATGAGCGTAAATCTGCAGACCGAGTGGATTCTACTGTAAATAATTAATAACACCAAACTCCCCGGTCTTTTCCTGTCAATGCCGATATACTTTATCGGCTCCAAATATCCTTGCTGAAAGTTTTTCTCTCTCTTTTCTTGTTCTTTTATTTATTTATTTATTTATTTTCTATTATTTAGTTATTTTTTATATATTTCTTCTTCTTTGATGCCATTTTACCAACATCCCAGAGCAGTTTCTGTCGTGCGTTTCGTTTGTTATATTGCTGACACTCTCTCACCGCCTTCCACTTTTCGAGCATGGCTGGCTCTTTTCTGCCCCTAACAATTCCTCTGCTGCTCCTCTGTTATCATCAATAGCCATTTGAAATCTATATCCGTTGAGGTTATCAGTGAAGAGTGACGAGTGAGGGGGGATAGAAAATACTCTGAATCGGCTATCAAAATTACTTTTGCGCTGACCCTGAGGATTCATCATATTCATATGTGGTGGTGTCAGCAAGTGCTATTTTTACTCCCCCAGAACCAAAAGTGATTTTGAAAGCATAGCATCGCGAGCTATGATAGCATGTTTACTGGTTCCCCTTGATTCTACTACTTGCTACTGTCTTAATGGGTTCCCGCCGCAGTTAAAATCAGGAAGCATTCTGCAGTCGTCATGTCACATATTCCTCACTCCCATTACCCCCTTATTGCCCCAGGACAGGAGCGATTGGTCTATTCTGACAGCTCGATTTTGCATGGCAGCCCTCCTATTTTCAAAACCAGAGCACAGCTAAGCCTCGAGGAAAACCTACAGGGCTCGAGTCACTTCCATCCACCTCAGGCGCAGACGCAGGCGCAGTCGCTGCAGGCTAGGCCTGGACAGATTTCCAGCAACATTCGTGACACAAAGCCACGGCTGCTGCTAATGGGGCTGCGTCGGTGAGTGTGCTGCAGGATTCTCTAAATTTAGTTATGTGATATGATTATCTTGATACTAAATCACCGTATAAGGAGCGGCAAATCTTCTATATCGAGCGTTGTATTTCATAAAATGCCCGCAACGGAAACTCTATTTCTCGAATCGACCACTCGCATCCAAAAGGATTCGATACAGTCAGTTGTTTTCCATACTCTTTCATTGGTTGGTTAAGCCGTGGTTCCTAACCTTCACAGCTCTTTTATGGACTTCCAAGTCTGGGATTTCCCCGGCCAATTGGAATATCTGGAACCGTCGTTCGACCTAGAAGATATCTTCGGCAATCTAGGGGCTCTAGTCTGGGTCATCGATGCCCAAGACGACTATCTAGAAGCTGTTTCGCGCCTAAATCGAACCATCCTCCTCGTCCAACAATACTATCCTCACATTAACATCGAAGTATTCATCCACAAGGTGGACGGTCTGTCCGAAGAATACCGCTCTGACACCTTCCAAGATATCGTCCAACTCATCTCAGATGAGCTTAGCGATGCGGGCTACGAGAATGCGCCAGTACACTACTACCTCACGTCAATATACGACTACTCCGTTTTCGAAGCCTTCAGCAAAGTGATTCAGAAACTCATCCCGCAACTCTCTACCCTTGAAAACCTCATCAATATTCTCTCCAACAATTCTGGCATGGAGAAGACGTACTTGTTTGACGTGTTGAGCAAGATTTACATCGCATCGGACACCAGGCCTGTCGACATGGCCTGCTACGAAATGTGCTCGGACTACATCGATGTCATCGTCGATGTGAGCGAGCTCTATTCGTGGGAGCATCCGGATCGCAAGCCTAAGGGTCCTCAGATCTCAGAGGCGGAAAGTCATGTGATCTTGCACGATAAGAGCATGATACATCTTATGGAGATGAACAAGTACGTATCTGATATTTTATATTTTAAAAAGGGGGGGGGGGGGGGGAAGCAATGCTAATTGTGCTTCCCGTGCTAGATACCTATGTCTCGTCTCTGTGATCAAAAATGCAGATGCAAAGGAGAAAAGAGGCCTGATTGACATGAACTGTCGGACTTTCCAGACTGCGTTGAATGAAGTGTTTTCTAGAAATTGGGAGAATGAGTCATGAGATATTATCGACTCCCCCCTGGAAGACAGACGAATGAAGAATATTTCTAGAGAATGAATACAAAAAGCACCATGGGCAAACCGAACTTTTCTTACAGCATTTGTTATTCTCCTGAGAAATAAAGGCATCTTTTTAAAGGTGGTTACAATCGTTGACTCTCTTCCGTCTGAGCTCCGCTGCTATACCTATTATCTCTTTTCCTTCCCTTCTCTACGGGCTTTCTTTACGTATATACGGGCAGCAACGGTGTTCGTCTGTACATTTCGTACAATACGCTGTTATGATTCTTATTATGGTTCAGGTTTTTGTTGAGTTACGAATTTGTTCTCAACACATCAGAGGGAACCTCAAATTTGTACTATACACATATTTAACTGTCTACCAATATTAGATACAAGATACGAGGTTGGATAGTATGTAGCCATGCAAAGGTGTCCATATCAGTAACCCGTTGTCTGCGTGCTGGATTTATACCCACTGACACATATCCCTGTACAAATCTGGCTGCCAAAAGGTCCCTATCCATTCATCTCCTATGTATTATCGTAAACAGCACATTAACCGGGAAATAATAAACCTTCCCGTTCACCGCCGCTCAAGACCCGCCGTGTCTGGAATTGGAACCCCATTGCTCTCCATCCTTTTGCGGCGAGCGAAACGAAGGCAAATGAGCATGTATGGGGGTCGTCCGTGATCGCTCATGGATTAAGTGGGGAGGGCCAACCAACAATAGAATAGGTAGATAGGTAGAGTACATGAGTGTAGGGGGAAGAAACGATATTTTAACACTAGATGAGAACACTTATTGCTTTTTTGCATTCGTTCTGATCTGGATTGATTCAAACGAATGTTGCGTTTTACACTGCAAAAGTATGGATATCAAGATCGATCTTGATAACTAGTTATTCAGTTTGGGATGACCGCTCGATGACGAAACTAAGTTGTAGTTATAACTAACGTTAACCAGCTTCAGCTTCTCTGCTGCAAAAGTTTGTTCTTTTCGTATGACTACAACGCTGCAGACACGGCAACACCTCTGCTGCCAATATATCAGGCTAAATCTGTAAAACATAGCGTATTTACAAGTTGATGTCATAATCCGGAGCTTTACGAATTGCTACAAACGAAGACACAGCATCGCTCGAGAAGATCGGACGCAATGCCCACGCTCCGGCAACGTCCTGGAAAAGCTGCCCCCCAATCAAAAAGGAGGAATTCGGGTGCAGGAGATGATGCTCACGATTCCTTTTCTGGCTCGTCGGGGAAGGGAAAAAACGCCTCTTCCAGCTCAGATGGCGGGATGGAAGTGGCAGAAGCAGTAGTGGTCGAGGTGGTCAACCCAAACAGAGAAGAATCCGACAGAATGCGAGCCATCTCCATCCTGGACATCTTCCGTCTCATTTTCTTGCTCCTACTCACCTCCTCCGCGCTATCTTACTTCATTACCTCCGATTCATTTTTCTGGGGTTATAGACCCTGGTTTACGCGCTGGCCTGTCGTGAAGCGTTATATCGTATGGAAACCCAAGATATGCACACTCCCTTTCTTCCAATTTTGCTTCCTTTAGTAAATTTACGATTTGTTCAAAACAGCTCGGCCCTATAAACCTCACCCCAGCCCAACTAGCCCTGTACAATGGCTCTGATCCCGCCCTTCCTATCTACGTCGCCATAAACGGCACAATCTTCGACGTCTCCGCGAACCCACGCATCTACGGTGCGGGTGGCGGCTACAACTCCCTTGCCGGGGTCGACGCGACCCGTGCCTTCGCCACGGGTTGCTTCAAGGAGGACCGCACCCCGGACCTTCGTGGCGTGGAGCTGATGTTCGTCCCCATCGATGACGACGATGGGAATCCGGCCGAGCAGGCGATGAGTGGCGCTGAGAAGAAGATTCGGCGCGAGAAGGAGTTGAGGGCTGCGCGGGAGATGGTGAGGAAGCAGGTGGCGCATTGGAAGGAGTTTTTTGAGAATCATAAGGATTATTTTGAGGTGGGGAGGGTGCTGGGAGGTCCTGGGGTGGAGGGGAAGGGGTTGGAAATGAGGGAGTTGTGCGAGCAGGCGCAGAAGATGAGACCCAAGCGGTCAGTTCTGAATGAGAACGCAGCTGGAGGAGATGGCTCGTGATTGATTGAGGGTGCGTGGTGTGATGGAACAGATTCATTTTATTTGTTATATATGTACTTCGGTAACTACTGTATCCTGATGGCGTTGGGGATGTATTAAGTTAGGGCTTCGGTCATTCAGAGGACTCCTGTCCTACGAACAAAAACGGGCTATAAAGCAAAAGCCTCATTCTCATCGTTGAATGAGGCCATTTTTCTACTTCATGTTTATTAGGTATTTGAGCACATGTCTGTTTAACAGTTGTCATATTTAATCCTTGTCGCAATAGGAGGTAAACCTCCTTGCTGTAGAAATTTGGAGGGAAAGTGCATGTAGACGCCGCGCATGAAAATCAATCCGACTGGAATTGCTGATGGGTTAACAAGGGCACCTCTTCTAAAGTTATGCAACTTCAATTTTGCTCACAGAGGTATGAAAGCAGGAAAACACATGCTTCTTAACCACAATAGAGGGTTCGACCAGTTAGGCCTTTGGTTTTGGATTCTTGCTTCCACCGTGTAGCTATTTTGTTCGATATTTATATCCATACACTCATGACAAAACTATGGAAGGGAAAAAAAGGGAGAGAACACAGGAAACTCGAGAACAGGAAATCAATAAGACCGCTTTGACAAGCACAAAACCCGGGGAAGAAAAAGACGAAAACGGAGAACGGTTCGGAAATCCATCTACTCTGCAGCGGTAACAGCGCGGGCTAGATTGCAACACACGGATTTGTTAGAACTTAATTGCGGAAAATAAAGAACGCAATGTGCGATCGTCTCTCTTTCCCATCAAGTCAACCGAAAAAGGCAGAATCAACACAAAAGTACAGAATTCCACGTACTGTAAATGTTCATCTTCGAGTGTCCGACGACCTTCTTAATCTGTCCCTTCTCCTCCAGGTCGCTGAGGGCCTTCCGTGCCAAGCTGCCGTTGATCTTCAGCCTATCAACGAGCGTGGCGACAGTGATGAGACGGTAGGACTGCACATCCTTGTAGAGCTTCTCGGAAGTGGCCTTATCGAGAACAACGGCGTGGTTGGCCTTGTCCTTGACTGTTTGGTGGAAATGATACTGTGTTAGCCAATCATTCTATCGTTTCACGGCAGTGAACATCAATGTTCAATTTTATGCCGAAATAAACATCCCCAAGCAAAGAAGAAATGTCTGATCCATATCCTCTCTCCCCGACTTCGACATTGACTTCCTCCTGTTGGAGATTCTCAGGGTTTTCGTACCTTTGCCCTTGGACCACTTCTTCTTCTGCTTCTTGCCGCCGGAGGATGCTGCGGGTGCCTATGAACGCCGTAAATAACCTATCAGCATAATGATCTCCCACAGTACCCTCTACCAAATCACTTCATTCATCGGTCGTTAGGAAGCTCGGGGGAAAACTGTTCACTAACCATGGTGGGTGGAGTGTGCGGTGGTTGTCGCCGACGAGGTGTTCAACAGCAATCGAAAAGAAGTTTGATGTCGCTGAGACAGCCCAAAAGGTGCGAAAATGGCGAGTGGACTATGACTAAGCTGACATTAGCCCTAAACCCTCGTTTGGCCTATTTGAGCTAGTGTTGTAGTCACGTGTATTCAAATCTCGCTTTACTAAAGCGACAGTTTGTCTTCCAACTGCTAAACTCCAATGCCTGAACTTCCCGAGTGTCAAATCTTCCAAGTGCTGACTCTCTTATAGCGAAAAGAGAGAGGGACAGATGCGTCTATCCGTCCGGTGGGATGGCGGTCTGGTAGTTACTGGCTACAGGAGATGAGAGCGAGCTGGGATTCTGTGTGTTGTGTTGCAGTTTCTGGGAGTCGCTCAAAGGCGGACAGGAGGATAGGAATCAAAGACCAACATCCAGCTCCATATCATTGACTTCTGGGGAGACTAATAGCCGATCATTCCTTTCACACATCATTTCTTCACTTCCGTTACCTGAGCGGTAGCTGACACCATGTCGTGACCCATTTTGAAGCTCAAGTTTTCCAGACATGAAGTTTAGAGTAGATTCGAAAGTGTTTGGCACTGATTTTCCTTCTGCTGTGTCGAACCTGCACCCCGAGCAGGGTGTCACACATATTATGTGTTTTGCTGTCGACGCCGAATCTCCAGGCCCTGAGAGAGATATTACATGTTGCTGTCAAAACATAGATGGAGTTCGGATTCCGTGATGGGTGGGGCCACAGTGCACTCAGCCTTTTAACGTACCAGCACCGAGCGACGGGCACTCCTACAGGAGATTCTGGAACGAGAAGGAGATGCGTATTTCGAGCCTTATGAGGAAGGCGAATGTAAGAAGCATCAGATAAATTACTGGCATATCAAATCAGAGAGTCCAGAGCCAGGATATGTGCTAGGAATGCGGATTCTGTAGCTGTTCCCAGGCAAAGGAAGGGTGCTTCGATAAGGTCACAACGAGCGTGGTAAGACGGACCGACCGATCGACTACAATCGCACATTTTTGGAGAAGTAGAATCAAAGCGAGCCTCAAATCAATGTACGGCAAGACCACCTAGAAGAAGTATCGACGGCAACATCCGACCAACAATACGAGTGTGGAGAACCCCGACATTGATGGGGTTGGGGGCCCTTCCGCACAACGACCATATCACCTGGCAGATGCGAAATCCTGCAACGATTCAGCGGAACTGGTTATCTCTTCATCAAGAATCTCTAAGACCAGGAAAGTGTCCAACAGGCAATCCGCTGCTTCGCACATGAACAACGCAGGATTGTCGACAGAACCGTTTTGTGCAAGTCGGCCACAAAGACAGCATTAAACCCAAGCCAATGTTTCCTCGCGAAAAAGCACACGGATATTGAAACAACCACAGATTTTGTCCCGGTTAGGCATCATGGTATACGTTCCCAACACATCTTAAATAAGCTTTGTACTTTATATACTCAGATTCGATTTCTAGAATTGCTACATGGGTCGTAGCTATAGTTTTACAGCAGTTTTCAAAGAGGGATTTCACTTATTGACTGTCGTTTTATGGATAACGACAATACAAAGACTTTTATGAAAAATCAAAATTCCGGGCGTCAATCGCAGTTCTGGCTGCGCTTTTGGAGTTTTTCTACGCAGTAAAATCAACCTGTATATGTAATTATGTGCAAATATTCTGGGAATAGAAACCATTGGCAAGACTGAAGACATTTGGATAGTCATAATGCATTGGGAACACATTGTCTCATTCCTTGACATAAGCATAACGTCTAGATGTTCCGCAGGCAGGGATTATAGGTGTGTGTATGTAAAAAGCTAGGCATGCGCGGTATTCCACATCGAAAATTCATATCAACCATGTGCATACCGTGGTAATTGCGGAATACAGGCAACCTGATGGCGTCCCCTGTCAGACGGGAATCGGACAAGTTAATTCCTAGAACAGACGATTTTGCACGACAGGAGCCCAATCAAGTCCATTAGATCAGCAGAACGAAGGATCAAAACCGAAGAACGCGCACATTATGTAGTGGGAAAGTCATCCATGCTCAAGGCGGGATGGTCGCCTTCGATATTTAGAACTTGAGTAAAGCTTGACTCTGTGCCACTTCCGGTTATATAACCAAAAGTGTACCCACTCTGCCACCCAAACCACACTAAACCACTCCCGTTGCTGTCAGCTTTGACCCAAGAGGCGGAGCACTTCCCCGCATTTGCAAGGGGTATTCGGGAGATTCTCGGACGACGGTTGCATATCCATTGGTGCGCAGTGGGTATATCACCGTCGTTAACGGTCATAAGGAGCTCGGGAAACTTGGGATTCCAGAGTAGTTGTCGAATACTGGATTTCTGGATCAATGCGCCAATGAGCGTAGGAGTTTGGCCTTTCATTGACCACATCCAGACAATATGTGGAAGCCCTTGGTCGATTGTTACCATCATGTCCCCAGTTGGGTTGAAGACGATAGAGGAAACGGCGCGTGTTCCACCAGTGATGTTGTAGGTGTATGGGAAAAAGGGGGACTTTGGAGCTAAGATATATTCAGTCCCATTGATTATCGAGGTGCGTTGTTCAGCGTATATGTCACGACCTATTGACCCAAAAGACATAGGGTCTTCAAGAACCGATTGTAAAACAAACTGGTTATGACGTTAGTTTTTCTTTATATATTGTTGTCGTACAGGGAAATGGAGAAGAAAACATACTGTTTTGCAGTTGATCAGGGTGACCGTCCCGTCGTGTTTTCCAATCGCCATAAGTCGCGAATCCGGACTCCACTCTATCATCTTTACTCCTAGACTGTCGTCATTGGCTACCTCACTATAAGTTCTATAATGTTGCCCTCCCGCAGTGTAAACAGCAACTTTGGGCACCGTGCTCGCTGAATCCCAGACAGCCAGCCACGCGCCATCCGGACTCCATTTTAAGCCTTGAGCATCTATCGTATTAAGAGTTACTGCAGCAATGACCTCATAAGTTCCAGGCTCATGGACAGTCAGAGTATCATTGGCATCAAGCTTTACAAGCAGTGCCAAGTGGCCCGTGACAGGGCGGAAACCATAACCGGTCACATTCGCAAACTTGGGGGATTTGATCACCCTTTGACCGCCAGTCGACAAAGAGAATATCGTAAGGTGGACGTTGAATTCAGAAAAGGCGATTACTTCATCATGTGAAAATGCAAAATCGACAAGGGTAAAGTTGAACGCATCGCCTGCTTCTATTTCAGCGGACCAGCTCTCGTCATGCAAGTCCCAAACGGAAATATGATTTCCACTCGCACAGAGAATGCGCTGACTATCTGGCGTGAATGCATCGGGCTCAGCGATCACAGGTCCAGGTGGTTTTGACCACCGGAGCGCCCTGACGCAACCCGCAACACTGTCATTTAGAGTGATAGTCCGAATGATACTCTGACTTTCAAGAGCAAGAATAATGGACAGCTTGTTGCCATCAAGGGAGCACACATATCTGCAATACTCAGACGGAATAACAGAAGTGCTGTCTTGTTCGTATATCATTAGCCTGGGTGTCTTGTAGGGCGTTGTTGGAGGAACGGCTAGCGAGCAATACTTAAGTTTTTTAGACTTTTGGTGGACATTGCCAGTTCAATGGGACCCGAGAACGATTATCACAATATTTACCTATTCCAGTTAGTCCTTTAAAGCGGTACTGAGTAATTTTGTAATTGTATCATATATGCTCGCCATTTTTAATTCTTGTCATTGCTGCACGCTCTTTTAGCTAGTTACTCCGATTGCACAACATCCTCCACTAACAAGCAAACTAAACCGCTTTTAATGTGATGACTAAGCTGGTTATCGTCGTATCCAATCCATTCATAGATATAGGTAGTTAGCGATACCGCACATTTCTTGCAAACCATGTAGTTAATTAAACTAAACACTGGCCACTTTGTCCAGCAGCTTTAGCAGGATCCACATAAAACCCTGTCCTGCTGGCTCAAACCCTACCCTCAACACTTCTCTCTGTTCAATATTTGGCAGGCATCGTATAAATAGAACCATCAATCCTGCGAGAGGTCCATGATCGATTTAGCCTCTTGCTTCATACACTTAAGCTGTGCACAAGATAACTTCCCAAATTTGAGGATATCAAAAAGGTCAACAATGTCCACTAGATCCACACATTCTATAGTCCACACCAGCAGGTTCCTTAATTTGGTGTTATCCGACTGATGAAGAATTTGTAGAGCCTGATCTATCTTTTCCCAGGTCCCTACTTCAGTAGCCCACATTTGCTCCGGCTGAATGGTATCATGAGGTTCCAGAACGCTGTTCAGTTCCTGTAGGATCTTTTCCAGGCCGCGTACGGACGGGACACTGTCACTTTGGGATACCCAAAGCTCGAGAACACTGCAAGTAGCATCAAAGCAGTCTCTCTCCCCCCCCCCCCCCCCCCCTCCGTATTTCAGAGAGAGAGCCGCTTTGAAACTTCGCTCAATTTAGGTAGCTCATACCCCCATAGCAACTCAAGTTCTTCCACCAACTTGGTTCTACAATGTAAGCACTCCCCAGTTGTGGGATTAGCTTCTTGATTTGAAACATCCCAAAAATCGTCTTTGCGATCTTCACAGCACGACTGCGCGTTCTTGTTTTCAGAGACTTCTCTGGGTGACCCCTTCCATTCTTCATACTCTTCCCACTTGAGTGGTCTGCTGCACGATGATATAATCTCCGTTCCGGGTACACTACTTCTAGTGTGACATTTATCAACTCCGGTGTCTTCGTCAAGCCTCCAGCAATTCACGTCACCAGGTTTAAATGTCTCCCTACCTTGGCAGACAGAATCATCCGAAACGGAACCCCACATTGCCCACGAGGGTTTGGCTGAGTCCATGCGGGAAGAGCCATTCATCTGCGATGTCCTTGACGGTGGTCTAGAGAAGTTAAACCCCTGGAATTGTCCGAATGCCTTGCAGTCTTCTGCTTGGTCTGCGTCTTGTTTTCCTTCAGCCACCTCTAGAATGATTAAACCACCAGTTAGGGGCTCCTCTTCGTTCTCGGTGGCTCTATTTCCTGTACCATGGTCATCGATGCCTTGAGTTAAATTCAAAGATTTAATCCAGTTATCTATCCTCTTCAGTGTCAAATCTGTTTCCGCCATGTAACCATGCTCTACCTCTTTTCTAATTTCCGTATCTATCACGGGACCAAGATGTGACGATCTTAGCACGCCATTTTGTTGCTTCTGTGTGGATAATTAATTATTCTGATCATTAATTAACCTTTGGCATTCTAACAATAATTTTGTGTTCTTTCGAGGAACGTATGTCTTGTTTTCAGTTGTTCGATTTTATCGTGCTATCGTCTTTGCCTTTGGGAATCGTCTTATGGAAAACCGCTTTAGATGGGTGATCCTGGGAGGCTTGTTGGAGGGCTGAAGGTGGTTGAATACCAGGTTTCGATCTGGAACTATTCTTTATGGTCGAACGTGGTGGAAGCTTTGGACGGGTGGGGTTTGCTGAGAAAACAAATGGACTATTGGAGTTTTTAATATTTTTGTCAAAGATAAATTGTTTTGGTGGACCTAGTGGATGAAATATCATGGGTAACGCTCGCTGGGTGGCTTTGCCGTCAGGCGAAGCCAAACGTTTGTTTAGCCGGATTTGACTGATACAGCCAGATATCTGCGGTTTCCATACTCTTGACGCCCAAAATATCATATTCTGGACGATACGACAAGTAGCCATTACTCCCCACTCTAGACATAGGCTGCTTGACCAGATACACGCCATTTTCTGATGAATAGTGTGCAGTTAAAGCCTGATTAGTAACAATAATATATATAACAAACATACGATCGGGAGGCACTTCTTACATGATCAACGGGAACATCATGCTCTATTTCAGAATAAGCCAACCAAACTTTGATCTCCGCTCCAATGCATGTAAAAACAACAACTGGGGGAACAAAATCATATCTGCCAGTGGACCTTTTAGAGGGATCTTCATACATCCTCAGGGCGGCCAACGCCGCATTTGCCGTTTGGCAGTAGGTAAATTGTTTCAGATATTGACGTGAAACTTCAAAGGGATGGAGCTCAACTACTGCCCAAGGAAAGCAGAGGAGTTAATTTCGAGACACAGGAGTTTTCTGGTCCTGTGTCCATTTGTGAAGCCCACCAAAGGGAGAAGAGATTAAACCGGCAGAACGAAGCTCTCCAAGCGATTGAAGTGAGAAATTGGTTACAAGCTCAGTTGATTGAAGGGCAGAGGGAATATCCTGATAAATTGTATATCCATAGGTAAAATCTGGTTTCGGAAGTTTCGCCAGGCGATTGTCGACACGATTTTCAGTATCATCACATAAAATGTTCTTTTGCCTGGTTAGAAGAAAAGAGTTAATTCTGTTTTATGGAAGAGCTAGGGCTGGAGGGAGTTACCTACAGAGAAAATTGGTCAAGAAGATCCCTACTTCTGATGGTTAGATGCCTGAAATAAACACCTTCGTCAAAGAGAACATACCAGTGCCGTTCCGCAAGTGGGTTAAGATCCTCATAACATCTGAATACCTTCTGCAGAAGGAATTGCCATTCGATATCTGTAGCGCACTTTTCGCCCCATGTTGAATCTTCTTTGCTACGTCCACACCGTGTTTCATTTGCAGCTGCAAATCCTCGGCCAACACAGATGGAGTGTCGAAATCATTAATATATGCAGACTCCGGGGGTCTAAAACTGTTGTTATCGTTCCTATCCCGATCTGATGCCAAATATGTCTGTGCCACTTGCTCAAATCGATTTCTATTCTGGTCAGTCACCAAGGCACTAAAGTCCAAGACGATTTGGCTGAATGACGCAACATGTGTTGGAAAGGTAGAACCAGCATGTCCACCATCGCCATGGGTAAGAACGAATTCGTCGTAAGTAATTCCATTGCTTTCAAGATGGTCTTTGTTGATACTGGGTTGACCAGCTGGCATCTTGAGAAGCTTTGCAACGCTGTTGCCGAACGTGAAAATGAATCGTGTGTCCAGATGCCTTCATAAATGTAAAGAGAGAAATAGGACCTGGAACCGCCTTAAAGGTGCGAGCTCTAACGATTCGAGGTGTTTGACTCAAAACACCTTCCAGCCGGTCGCAATGAGCAGGGAGAAGAAGTCCCATGTTCAAACGGCAACCCTCAATGAGCTAAGGCTGTACAAAGTTTCAAACTTAGATCTTGGAAGATTTCATCATTTTCATTGGATGCACAACGCGGGATGGTGGCGGCTATACTACCTCCGCCGTTTTTCATGCAAGGTTCATGGTTCAGCTCATGGTGTGGGCATTGGGTAATGACTGTGAGGCTTCTAATAGTGCCCAAGTTGTGAACTCAGATGGGCACAGTACCGCTAACTGCCTGAAAGTGAACCTTTTGGAATGTGATGCTCAATCAAAGAGCATAGACAGAAATCAGTGGCTGATTAACTGACTGTCTGCCAAAGGGGTGTTCCACCACAGCCCAAAAGGATGAACTGAATGCCAAGTTTCTGCAATTTAAATTCTGGGATCCAATTCAAAACATCACTGGTTAAAAAGCTCATTATAACAATGATTTGAACATTTGAATTCCAATCGAACATCGCAATTTGGGAATAGGCATAATCAACACTCCATCCTTCTGAGGACCCGGAAAATTAGAATATGTAGATCGGGATGCCAACCCGGAGCATTGGTGTGGGAACAGTTATGATTGGGAAGATATCTCGTCTAACTATATTTCGTCTCACATTTTTCCAAGTTATTTGATCCGTGGAAATCCATTTCCATGGATGCAAGTCGGGATTCCCGAATTGGTGTATGTTTAGAATTTTAGCCTACATTCATGTACAACTTATTTTTTGGGGTGGCGGCGGTTCACACTTAACTACCAGATTTCAAGAGAAACGAAACGCTGGGCATCGAAAGAGTCATCACTGATAATAGAATCAAAAACAAGCGAGGTGTTGGCATCGCATCCCCACTGCCATCACGGTTCATATTGTACCGCGTAAACCGTGATCAAGATGAATGAAATACAAACCTGTCAGTTGCTGGATAAACCTTTGCTTTAAAACTTCCTCAGCTCAATACCTGATATCGACTGGCATTCAACATGGCTTAAATGCTGCGTCTCCGAAAACTTCCTCTATCATTACCACCTGCAAACAGACCAGGTTTCATGTGCGGGATGATAAAGATGCAAGAGAGGTAATACTTTTCTACTTCACACAGGTCTTCTCATGATTTATCTGATTTATGCATATAGTTTAATTAATTACCCATCACAGATCGATATAGAAGACCTGAATATAACCATCGTCCCAATTGATCCCAACCCCTCAACTGCATCTGTGTCAGATGCGACAAAAAGCAAACCAGCCAAATCTCGTACTAAATCGAAAACCAAAAATGACGGAATTGAAATTCTGTCCATTGCAGACCTACATCTCAATGCAAGTGTTCACTCTGGGTTCGTGGGAAGGAACAGGACGGGAACGTCTAGTTAGTTGAGAACCTTTTTTTTTTTAAAAAAAAAAAAAAAAAATCGTCCTTTGTCCTCGATCCCTCCATGTTACAGTGTTATACTGCATATGTTTTGTTAAATGAATCAACTGGGTGGGTCTGTGCCGCTGAAGGGTTGGTTGACTGACTCGTTTGGCTTTATGTTGCTTCGTTCTATCAAGCGATTTTGCGTGCATTTGTTGAAAAACTTATTCCTGGTATCCATGATAATTTGCGAGTATCTATTCTCCAACACATTGAGGATGGGCCGGTCTCATCTGGCAAGCTTTGCAATGACAAAATCCCGGAAAAGTCTGGTGGGAATACGATCTTAAAGTAAGTTATGAGGTGGGATGGATTGAGAAAGGAGATTGATCAGGGATATGTCACAATTACTTCATTATATTAATCCTACCGCAGACTGATTGAGCCTAAACACTCTGTGTTTCTTCTCAACATGAAAGTGCTCTCGCATGCTTTAGAAGAGACGGAGGATCCCTGGGGACCCAGGAGAGCAACCCGACAGCTTCGCCATGAGGAGCTGGAACGAGAGTTGTTTCTCGTACAAAAGAATTCTAGCTTGAGTAGCGGATGCAAGCAAGGAAGTATCTGAAAATAGTTGAAAGGAGGGTTTCGGAATCTGTGAAGCTGTGAGAAGTTTATTCGATATGCTATTAGGTTCTAGGTTCGAGATGGAGAAAGGATGAGAACTAATAAAGACCTAGGCATGAGAAGAGCAAAGACGAAGGTAGTCCTTCTGAGTTTCAGGAGGAGACGCAAGGAGCAGTGGATCTCCTGAATGAATTGCGATGCCAATACGAAGCGGTATGCCGGTCACAAAGTTGTTAACACAACCATGTTAACCCTTATTTATTCATAGATGAAAATTATCGACATTGAGGCAGAAGCGCGAAGGGTGCTCCTAGGTCTTGGGTTCGAATAATCTTTTTTCGAACAACCTTTTTGAGTCACTCTCAGGCGGCTGGCGCATGCGTTGCATGTTCGCTGGAATCCTGATCCAGAAAACAGAAATCATGATTCTCGATAAGCCTACCTATTTTCTAAACCTATTGGGCGTCGTTTGGCTCGAGAATTGTTTTTCTCATTTGCGAAAGGTGGGCAATGACAGGATCATGCTATTTGTATTCCATGACAGAGTCTTCCTGAACAATGTCTGTGAGGAAACAGTCATATTGAAGGAAAAGACGTTGTCATACTTCAAGGGCAACCTTTCGGCGTACGAAGAGAATTTGGGTGCCCAGAAGCTCTTCTGGGGTCGGATGAAAGAAGCGCAGGATCACCAAATTGCGCACATGGAAGCATGGATACGAGACAATATAAAAATGGGCAGGAAAACTGGTGATGATGGCAAACTCCGCATGGCTAAATCTCGTCAGAACAAGTAGATGAGAGAATAGGTGTGCAGGTGAGCGCTAAGGAATGGAATTGACCTTGTAACCCAAATTGGAGACCGAGTCGGGATAATGAGTCTCAATGGGAGTGGGAAAACAAACTTTGGTACGGGTCCTTGTTAGGCTCAATGCAGCCGTCGCAGGGTACTGTGTCACGACATCCTAGAGCAACCGTCGGTTACTACTCTCAACATTCCGTGGACGAACTCAAGGCAGTTGGCCAATCTGAACCTGGTGAAACGGGGCTTTCACTGATATCCCGGGATGCTAACAGGAAACTTGTGGAGGGTGAAGTTCATAGTTTGCTGAGTTTATTAGGTCTACAAGGCAGGACAGCATCAGATGTCCCCATTCCACAGTTATCAGGAGGCCAATTGGTCAGTATAGAATTCGTTGGTATTAGATCCATGCTCATGCAAGCAGAAATTGCTGCTAACATCTCTGGTGTATTGTGTCTATAGGTTCATCTGGCGGTGGCCAGGATTGTGTGGAATCTGCCACACTTTTTAGTCCTGGACGAAATCACAACCCATCTTCAGTTCCATACTGTGCTGCGCTGGCAGAAAATCTTCTCATCTTTCAGCGGTGTGATACTCATCATTTCTCATGATCGCTACCTAGTTAAGAGGTGTTGTTGAGGGGTAAACGAAATCTCACTCAATCTGGCCACGCGGTGACGGCGGATACGACCGTGGAACTGGATGAAGACAAATCCAGGCGGCGGGCTGTGTATGTGTTAAAGCGAGGCAAATTGGATGTCCAGGAGAACGGCGTGGAACAGTTTGAAAAGAGTCTGCAGAAGCAGGTAGTGAAGATGATGCCTGGGGATTTTATAGAGGTTGCTTCTTAGATTAACAGGACCCTCTCTATTGAATGATTCTTGATATTCTTCTCCGTAATTTCGCTCCAGAATCAATTTTTAGCTTTCCCACTCTTGATGTGAATGCGGAGTAGTTAGGTAGAGGAGGCCTATCACTAACTAGTGCTTTGCCGAAATCAATCAAGATGGTTGTTTTGTTCCAATGGCCCAACAACAAACTGTATTAAGGTGAGACACGTGATTAGGATAGCCGCAGCCCCCAACCGACAAGGAGCCTTACTAATTAGCTTGGGTGGAACCCTTCAAAATTATAGTTAGGGCCGATTGACTTAACTAGTTAGTTATAACTAGTTATAACTAACTTCCCAACCCACAGCGGGCGGCGGCATCCACCCACATCCAGCACGACCGGCAGCAAACTGTTGCATTGACGCTCCAAGATTCTTCCATCATGAACCTGCTAGACTTAGCATAGCAAGATATGCCCTCGACTCATATAATGGCCGAGCTACTTCATAGACGCTCTTTTCCCGCCCTGCTTTCCCCCTCAGCCGAGATGCGGGGTGTCCTCTCGGCTCCCCGCGGCCTCTCCCACTCTCGACGGCGGCGACATTACCAGAGTACTTCGGCATCTTGCAGTATTGCAAACAGTGGCAGTCAAACAGTGTCTACGTTGACACCTCCATCTTCAATACCCTTACCATCGCAGCCGCCATATATTTCCCCTTCATCATTTCCCGTATCCCCCTCTCCACGGCTGTCCGCTCTAAAGAAGGCAAAACCATTCTCCGACTTTTTGACCGATACCTTCAACCGCCAGCATGACTACCTTCGCATTAGCATTACGGAGCGCTGCAACTTACGGTGCCTTTACTGCATGCCGGAGGAAGGAGTTCCCCTCTCGCCACCGGCTCACCTCCTCACTACTCCCGAAATTGTATATCTGTCCTCCCTTTTTGTTTCTCAAGGTGTCACTAAAATACGCCTGACAGGAGGCGAGCCAACTGTCCGAAAAGATATTGTTTCCATACTGCAGCAGATAGGGAACCTACGGCGGGATGGTTTGCGGGAGTTGTGCTTAACCACCAATGGTATTTCACTACATCGCAAACTAGATAGCATGGTAGAAGCCGGATTGACTGGTGTCAACCTGAGTTTGGATACGTTAGACCCGTTCCAATTCCAAATCATGACCCGCCGGAAGGGATTTGAAGCCGTCATGAAAGGCATCGACCGTATCCTGGAAGTGAATAGACTTGGTGCTGGGATAAAGCTGAAAATCAACACTGTGGTTATGCGCGGATTAAACGATCGAGAACTTCTCTCCTTTGTTGAGTTGGGGCGAGTAAAACCGATCGAGGTCAGGTTCATCGAGTATATGCCGTTCGATGGGAATAAATGGAGTCAAGGGAAAATGCTACCCTACAAGGAGATGCTCGCCATCATTCGGGAGAAATATCCCAACTTGGAGAAAGTCGCAGACCACAAAAACGATACGAGCAAGACATACCGTGTGCCTGGATTTGAAGGGCGTGTCGGATTCATTACGAGCATGACTCACAACTTCTGCGGGACTTGTAACCGCCTGCGCATTACCAGTGATGGGAACCTGAAAGTATGCTTATTTGGAAATACTGAAGTTTCGCTACGAGACATGATACGAAAGGAGAACAACGGGGAACCGATCGATGACAAAGCGATGGAATCACTCGGTCTGTTGGAGTCCGCTCGAAGGGCTCGTCGAACTGAACAAGAAGGAGCATTTGTCAACCAGCGAGAACTGGACCTGCTTGATATCATAGGTATGGCCGTCAAGCGGAAGAAGGCGAAACATGCTGGCATGGGAGAATTGAAGCATATGAAAAATAGGCCCATGATTCTGATTGGTGGGTAGGATTTTGATATATATATATATATATATATGGCCATTTGAGAAAGATCTTTTTGGTGATGTTTGGCGTTCTTGGGGGTATCGTTTTTGGATCATTTTGGATTCCTTCCTTTTTCCTATTTGGAACAAGACTGTCATAGAAGACGTATGATGGAATTTGCATAGGTTGGCTCAATGTTTTTGGTTTCTTTGAATACCATACCCGTGTTGTTCTTATGATACAATGGAGAGCTTATCATTTGCACATTTTGTATTCCTTGCTTGGGCATATCTCATCTGTAATCACTCAGCGGTGCTAATAAGGGGTTTCACCAGATGAACCTGCTATTCCCTTCGATAATCATATGCCAAACATCCCAAGAATGGTACACATAGGGAAGCTATTGGCGCGTTCTCCCTGGTCTACAATCCCTACGCATTTCCTCCCCACCGCTTCGCCTTCTAGGGCCCCTTTCCGTCTATATTCGACTCAACGACCCTTGGAACCAAGCAATCTACGAACTACACCCAATCCGTCTTCAAAAGCTCCACCAACCTCAATCCCAGATCTACCCACAGCCTCGGACCCGTCCCTCCCGCACCTCACTCCATCTCAAACGGTCCACATGACCTCCATCTCTCACAAGGCGGAAACTACCCGCGTCGCCACGGCAGTGTGCCGTGTCACCTTTTCCAATCCAAAGCCCTACTCCCTTCTCACAACGGCGGACGGGTATACGAAGAAAGGCGACGTGCTGTCCGTCGCGCGGATCGCGGGGATTATGGCTGCCAAGCAAACGGCGGATATCATCCCGCTGGCTCATCCGGGTCTTGGCATAACGGGCATCGAAGTTGATATCCAAGCCTGCGTGCCTGAGAATGTGATATCTTCCGCGAAACCAGAGCGTAATAATTCCGTTGTTAATGACGGGTCACCATCAACAGTTACAACGACTGAGGATTTAGTTAAGTCCTCCTCCCACCCCTATGGTAGTATCCTGATTACCGCGACGGTGTCATGCCATGGACGTACTGGGGTCGAGATGGAAGCGATGACGGGAGTGATGGGTGCGGCACTGACTGTGTATGATATGTGCAAGGCGGTGGACAAGGGGATGGTGGTGGGTGAGGCGAGAGTGGTGAGGAAGCGGGGCGGCAAGAGTGGGGATTGGGAGTTGGGGGTTAAGGTGGAGGATGGAGGGGAGGGGGAGAGGCAGGAGCGAAAGAAGGTATTGGAAAGTTAGGATTGCTATGTGGATGACAATTTAGATACCGTTGTGTACACTAAGTTAACCGTGCGTTGTGAGAGGCACTGCACATAGGATGACTTCACCCTTACATCAACCAATCTTCATTTAAAAATGCCGTTGAGAATATCCTCAAAACTTAAATACAAAATGTTTCAACCTTTTCACAAACAAGTCAGTGAATGCCCAATCAAAATTTATGTACCATATGTTGATACACGGAACGCACACTGATTATCCCGCCTATTCTTTACCAGATTAATCCTTCATATCCTCATCATTTTCATCCTCCTCACTTCTCACAGAATCAGCATCCTCCATCTCCACATCACCACCTGCCGCCCGTTTCTTCCGATCCTCCAATCGACTCCGCTCAACCAACTTGATCTGCTCGTCCTTCTGTTTCCTCTGCGTTTTCACGAATGCTCCCAACGGCGTAGTTTCCCACTCCACATCCTTTAGGAACCTTTCAACCTCTGCTCGATCCCTTGGAGAGAATGTCACTTTGGACCGCTGCTCCTCGATCCAGCGACTATTCGCCTCAAGCTTCTGCACAAGCAAAACGACCATTTGATTGACCTTCGTATTCTTGTTTCCCGACGTGCGAGAAGATACCTCCTTCAACCAGCGCTTGAGCATGACAATTACGGGCAGCGACAGTTCCGGGAACGCGATATTTTTGGTCCATAGAATGAAAAATTCCGAGAAAAGTTCTGCAACTTCAAAGCCCACGCCGTCTTGGTAAACGCGGGTTCGTAGGTACGATTTTGGAGCACGGATACTCGTGGCAAAATCGAGAGGGCGGAGGGTGCTGGATTTAGGTGGTTTTTTCATTTCGGCGGAATTGAGGACCTCCAAAAGTGCGGCTGCGAGGGGGATGTAGGTTCCTGTTGCAAGGGAGATGCGGAGGAGTAATCGAGTAAGTTGGAAGCGGAGTGGGAAGTATTGCGCTGTTGGGATTAGGCGCATCGCACCTAGGGTGATCTGGACGACGGGGTAGATAAGCGGTCGTAGAGGGGATGCCTTCCCGGCGGTGGCTTCCGCCACTGAATCGCAGTGAGACGATAAAACTCTCGACCAAAAGTCCAAAGAATGGACGTACTGCCAGTTGTATATGGTCTTGTAGGAGTCATTTGATGGACGAGTGATGCTGCTTCGTAGATGCACCGCTAGTTGTCTGATAAAGCCAAAGCCCGCTGTATAGGAGACATTCTGGTCGATTCCCCAAATCTCAGCTGCAGAGTTTTTGATAAGATTTACGCCAGCGAGCGTGTGCGCGGTGGTATTTCTACTACCCTTAACCACTCCCTCATAGGTTGCCTTTAGAACTGAAGATTGGATTCCGGAATCTCCAATTACCATCAGGCGGCGGACGATGAGAAACGCTGTGATCCGGGTAGCTTCAGTGCTGGCTGAATCGGACCAGATGCCAATAACAGTCTTGAGAATGACTTTTAAGAGTTTTCTAAAGGGAAGAAGATATGGAAGCATAGGCTCAATTGATGCCAACGTCAACTTCAAGGCGGCTGCGTCGGACAGGTTTGTAAGAAGTTGATGAACGGAAGATGCGTGCGACTTGATGAGGGGAGTCAACGTTTTAAATTTATTGGACTCTAGAGAGACTCTGACTTTCCCACTCGTAGTCTCTTTTATGGGTAGATGGTGATTTAAAACTTTAGGGACATATTCCAAGGAAGTGAGAAGAACCTGGTGGTAAACACTTGCATCTGAAATGGTGTATTTCCGGTCCTTTGAATCTTCCTCGTTCATGTAGGCGGCTGATCTGAAAGCTAAGACTGCCTGTCGCGTTGCTCTTAACGAATGCTGCTCCGTCATTGATTTTTGCCATTTTTTAACCATTAACAAAGTAATCGTATCGTTCGCATCGTCATCTTGGTTTGCTTTGGACGCCTTAGCTTTATTTTTTTTCTTCACAGGGTGGGCTTCTTCTTCTTCTTTTTCTTCTTCTTCTTTTTCACCACCACTAAGTGCATCGATCTCAGCAAGATCCCCATGGTCTCCAAACTCCAGTAGCTCCGCATCATTCTCCTTCAGATATATATAGAATTCAGGGTCTTTATCCTTTAGGGCTTCTAGCTGTTCAATATGTGCGTCTAAATCGCCAATGTTACTCCCTGCGGAGGTTGCATCGCTCTGTGGCCCGTCATTTTCTTCGTTATCGATCTGTGTTGAGAATTCCTGATGGTCTTCTCTTCCCTCTACCTCAGCTGCCCGCTTCCTCTTCCCAATCTTCGGGGGAACGTCCTTTTTAGAGGGCTTATTTTTCTTTTTAGGAGCAGCATCGGGTATATCAAATCCACCAGCAAAGAAGTCATCCACGTTCATCTCAGCAAATGCATTCTTCTGCTCGTCTGCAGCAGATTTCCGACCAACAATACCATTCTGCTGGGCCTGCTCATCCTGCTCACTTTCTGCTCGGCCATGTATTCGTTTGGACTGTTGTTTCTTTTCCTTCAGACGGTGTCGTTGCTTGACCTTGGCGAATTCCTTGCGGTGCTCGATTGTGTCCTTGAGATGCTTCTTCTCGAACTTTTTAGTGGCCTTTTTCGCAGAGCCTGCCATGGTTGGTAGACTGAACTTTCAGTTTGTAAGCCAACCAATGCGAACATATATATGGCATATGCATACATACATATATTTCCTTGTTGTTGTTGGTAGCTGTTGTCGTTTCTTTTCTTCACCGAAAATTCATTTTTTTTTTCTTTTTGCGGCTGAAAAACAAAGCTTCAAGCAGGTGCTTACTTAATCCATTTCCTTCCTACAGGCTTTTTTTTTCTCTCTGCAAAAGAGCAGCCATCTAAAGAACTTAAGGAATGAACAATGGCAAACAAGCAGCTGTTTATTTAAACTGCGAGATGAATCAACAGCAAACACAGGAACAGCAACGCCCACTATCCTATGCGCCCACCCCTTACAGTTATACCCCAAATACGGCGCTGTCTGCTTCAATTAACCTGGATGAGGTACGCGCTTAGGTTCTTGGGTTCTGTTCGATGCGCATTTTATTATTCTTGCCGCGCTGACAAGAAGTTAACTATTGACTCCAGGAAGTCAAGCTATCCTCTACCTCCGCTGAGAGGGACCTCTACGAATCCTTAGCGGAGATATACAGCATCATCCTAACACTGGACTGGTTGGAGAAGGCTTATATCAAAGATGCGATTACGGAATCTGAATATACGGAAACATGTTCGCGGTTATTGAAGCAGTACAAATCTAGCTTGAGTGATGAGACTGTTGCTAGAGAGTTCGTTGATTTGGATACATTTAAGCAGAAATGGGGGGTATGTGAATCTATTTCCCTGTTTATTTCTGTTTATCCTGTTGAAGTTTATAGTTCGGCTCCCCCCCCCCCAAAAACACACCCACACTCACAACCCTACGACTGCAGATAACAGGAGCTAAAACTAATTGCTTTTGCAGCTAGAATGCCCCAGGGCGACAGAGAGACTCAGGATTGGACTTCCGGTTACCGTCGAGCAACCCTCACACAACGCTGCATCTGGCACCAACAACGCAAACGCGGGCGCATCTGGTAGCCTGATCCTAGCAGCCACAGAGAACTTCATCACATTCCTCGATGCTCTGAAACTGAACATGGTGTCCAAGGATGCCCTCCATCCACTGCTGTCTGAAATTATACAGTCTGTCAACAAAGTAACCGATCAGGACTTTGAAAATAGAGGGAAAATAATTCAGTGGCTCATTGCTCTCAACCAGATGAGGGCGACGGAGGAGCTCACTGAGGACCAGGCTAGAGAACTGGCCTTTGAAATCGAACAGGCCTACCAGGGCTTTAAAGATACGCTGAATTGAAACCGCCCACCCACACTTTGCGGGCAGGTAATGTTATCTTTATAACAATCATCATCGGGTTGCGCATGATTTGTGGTTAACTCCAGAATTTGGTTTACTGCATATATACCACATTATTAACCAGTTATGTGGCATGAAACCCCTGAGTGGTTATTGTTTGCTTCTTTTTCATAGGTTCCTGTTTCCGCCTACGCACGTACCAAATCTCCATTTTTTCTTTTCTTTTCTTTTCCGTTTTACTTCTGCATTAGATTAAGCACTTGAACATCCAACACATATTTTGCCACATTACGATACTTTGTAAATTACGACATTATTTAACGCTATTCTTTGACATCTTCTCCTTGTTTTTTCATTAATTTCCCAATTCCCCAGTATCTCCTTTCAGCACTGAGCAAGCAAGTGGGGCAACTGACCCCCAATTCGCATATCGCAGCCCCAACACAGGCACATCCTGATAATGTCTGGTGGCTCACAACCGCTTCATGGTGAAACTTATTTGTTATGCCTTGAATACTTTGTAGTAGTGGCCTAGATAAAATGGACTAATAGCTCCTATGAGCCGAATTTATCCAGTGTTTGACCTCCCCCAACTCTACACTAAACCAGCTGCAACAGATATTCTGCGAGCCCTCGAACAGCTTGCTGTACGGCCACGCAGCTTCGACAATGACACCAAGGACGGTCAACCAACAGTCCTCCAAGCCGGCGTCTCACAGTACCTAACATCCATCATTGCAAGCGCACTATCGTGGATTGAATCCGACGAGCTCCGAGAAGCCATATGGGATGCGGCCAGCGCGCGCCTCTGCGAACGCTCAGGAAGAACAGGTATCTCTATGCCCAGTCATATCATATGTAGAACGTTGCTAATTATATCCTCCCTAAAAAAGCAATGCCCGCTATCTCCCGCGTTTTCACCATCCCCACAACACAAGACACAACCTTTCAACTCACCTTACATGAACCGTCCCTCACCTCTGATAACCTAGGCATGAAGACTTGGGTTTCGTCCTACCTGCTCGCCAAACGCCTACATACTCTCATTCCCCCTTCTTTCCTCAACTCATCTAGACAAAAAAACAATCGTCCTCTCCGCGCTCTGGAGCTAGGCGCCGGAACTGGGCTTGTGGGCCTCTCCTTTGCCGCAATCTGTGGTTCCCTTGCCCTCATCCACCTTACTGATCTGGATGCCATCGTACCGAATCTTGCCCACAACATCGAGCTAAATAAAGGACTCCTGGACAGCACGGGTGCGACTGCGACAACGGGTGTCCTGGACTGGTCGTTAGAAACGGACTTGCGGTCGGAGCCATTCGATAGCGAAAGGTACGATGCTATCCTTGCTGCGGATCCGCTGTACTCTTCGGATCACCCACAGTGGCTTGTGCAGACTATCCGGCGCCGGCTGCATCCGGGCAGTGGGTCAAGGGTTGTCGTGGAGATGCCATTGAGAGATGCCTATTTGCCTCAGGTGGAGGACTTTAGGCGGCGCATGGATGCTGTTGGGTTGGCTGCGGTAAAGGAAGGGGAGGAGATTGGGTATGATGACTGGGAGAGGATGGACGGGGAAGCGCTGGAGGTGCGGTGTTGGTGGGCTGTATGGGGGTGGAGGGAGGAGGGGAATTCAGCAGTGCTATAGAGCTAATGCAGGGTGCTAAGAGGAAGTTAATTAATGATTAGATGAGTTTTGTTTGGAATATAATTAGCGAATTGACTACATTAGCGATAGTAGACCAATAGAGAGAGGTATAAACCTGCATATACTTAGACTATTTCCTTGGATTTTATCTAACTGCACCTGCATATGCTCTACATGTATATACAATGTGCCCTTGGCTCTTTTTGATGGAATTTCGAAAATGTGACACAGGGGACTGCGCCTGTATGACGTCACCCGCTTGTTGCCTGTCTTTCACTCGAGGGTTACCCAACTATCAAGGAAAATGATATTAACCAGGAATGAAAAATATTCATATAAATTCATATTTTAAGAGTCTGGAAATAGCCAAATTGATAAAACCTCGACATCACAACCTATACCGAGGGTAACATCAAATTAGATAAAATATCAGCTTTGATACCATCACCATACGAATTTAACACTGAGAACATAAGAACGACAAGTATGGTCCTTGGTATTTTTACAATAACCGCAATCCCAACCGTTGTCGGCGTCTCCCAAGGTGTAAGCGAGCAGAGGAAAGAAAATCAGCGGCAAGGAGACGAAAAGCGCCTCGAGAAATTCTATCTCGATGTCTTCTGTGACACGAATTCTGATGCGGCGAGAGGGCTTTATGGGCGGAGAATGGTGCTAAGGGATAATAAGGTATGTGATGGCTTTTTTGGGTGCTTTGTAATAGTATGCAAGTGAGGCAAAATATCTGTCTGTAGTCCAGGAAGCTGAAATGTTCCCATCAGATTTACCTCGATTCCCCCTCATCCGAGGCTCGCTCCATCCCCAGCCATACTGCCGAAGCCTTCTACATCGCCTACCCAGACGACCAACGCAAACCTACCCTAGGGCTTGTCAGCACTATATCTGCCGACCCACCCATGCTCAATTGGATATATCTTGACAGACACACGCTGGAGCTCAAATACGGTAATCGAACGCAGAGCCGCGAGCATTTTGTCGGACCCTGGGATTGGACGGAGGATGAGATGAGATTGACGCTGCATGAGATCGAGGAATTTGCAGCGGTAGAGGGAGAGGAGGGTGTTTGGGCGGTTTATTTTGATTGGGATGGGGATGGGTTGAAGGGGAGTGTTAGGAGGGAGAAGAAAGTGGTGGAGATAAGTTTGGAGCGGCATATGGTCAAAGCAGAGGACGAGAGTGGGAAAGAGAAGGGAGACCAGGAGAAGGGAGAGGAAGAGAAGAGAGGGTGAAGTCGGTATCATTTCTGCTCTTATGGGTAGGAGTTCAACTGGAGATATGAAGTTGGCTGGAACCCTGGCGTTTATAGATAGTTACTCATATGTGCAGGGTGAAAGTAATTTTAGTCTTCAATCCCATCCCAAGACTCATTGTCATTTGCATCCCCTTCCCCTTCAACCTGTACCTTTTGTTTTCGCCGCTGGCTTGCCTTAACCGCGTCTCTCCGGTTTCGTTCGATCCGCCTCTCAAATCCACTCTTTGTGCTGATCCTCGTTTTTCGCTTATCCTTTTCACCCTGCTCCCCCTTCGTCACAGGCCTTCGAACCTTCACGCCATGTTGTTTGAGATCTTTTTTGTCCTTCTTGGACAGATTGGGCAATGCATCTAGCAGCCATTTCTGGATCCCTTTATCACTAGGGACTCCCCGTAATTTCTCACTTGCAGCGATAACATTCGCAATATTCTTCACGTAAGGAATATCTTCCTTTGTGTAAAAGGTGACAGCCACTCCACCCTCACGACCAGCCCTGCCTGTTCTTCCAACGCGGTGAATATATGCCGCGCTAGAATTGGGTATATCGTAGTTCACGACGCCGTTGATTCCGCGGAAATCCACCCCGCGAGAAAGGAGATCGGTGGTGATGAGAATCCATATCTCGCCTTTGCGGAAGCCTGCCATAACGTCAGATCTCTGCGAGTCAGAGAGTTCAGAATGGAGGACAGCGATACGTGACGATCCGCCCGCTTCAGCTGGGATGTCATATTTCAACTCTGAATGTAATGCCACAGCTCTGGATATGGTTTGCGTAAATACTAAAAAAGGTGGACGTAGATGGATATCTGACGCAGAGAATGCGCCCGTTGGATGAAGCAGCTGTCGCAACCCCAGAAGCTTCCCTTGTTCAGTTGCTGCATAGACAAGTTTGTGGGAAATATTGGGAATTGCAGTATCTTTTAATCCAACGACCAACCGAACAAGGAAGGATTCGTCCCCCAGCCCCAGAGATTTTTGCCGTTCGCTAATAGTTGATTTGACCAGCTCTTCAATATTAGAGCCCATTGTTGCAGACCATAACCCAACTCGTAATTGGGCGTTAGTGCAGGCCCGCCATACATCGAGGGTCTGTTCGCGAAATAACGGGTCCAAAAGTACATCTGCTTCATCTAAGGCAAGACTCTGGACGGTGGGCAGAGGAGCTAAATCGCGTTTTTTATTACCGGAAAGTGAATTCGCAAGCAAGGGGGGAGTCGAAACTAGAATATCGCTATTTGTAATAAGGTCGTTTCCTCTGGACTGTTTTGCTTTTGTGACTTCACCGCCGTCACTTCCGGAGCTCAATCTCTCTCCATCAGAGGGGTCTTCACCTCCTTCTATGCACTCCACGAGTCGCATCCTCTTCCGCATAGCTGTAATTTTAACCCCGGTGCCCACCATGAACTTCCGGCCTTCGTTGACAATTTGGGACACAAGTTCCTTCGTTGGCGCCAAGACAATCGCGAACAACTCTCTCGATTGGGAATCGTTATGGTGGTGATGTCGTATTATTTTATCAATGAGCGGAACCATGAAAGCTAATGTTTTCCCACTACCAGTTGGAGCAACAACCAAAAGGTCAGGTTCAAGTCCGAATGAGGAAGATTTCCCCCCTTTTACTTGATTCCGCGAAGCCGAACTAGGACAACCACCCAGCAGCAATGGAAGAGCGCCAAGCTGAACCTCAGTAGGGGCGCTGTAGCCTTGATTAAGAATGTTCTCGAAAAGCCGTCGAGAAATTTGATATCTCGTTCTCAACTGCCGGAACGACATAAGTGGTTCTGGATACATTCTCAGCGCTTTCCGCTGCTGTTTCCGGCTCAAAGCATTTGGGGTTGGTTCGAGCTTTTGCTTCTTTTTCGTTTTCTTTTTCGACTTTTTATCTTCTCGTTCAATCACTATCGGGGGTGTTCGGAGATCTGTCACTTTGATCTTGTGTGCTGTCAGGATCGCCTTTCGTGGTTCCTCACCCAAACCGGCATCCTCGAGGAAATCCCCATCGATAATATTTCCGCCTAACTTATCGCTCTCATTTTGCCCTTGCGTTGCATTTCTTGTTCCGCTGGTAGACAATCCATGAGTCCCAGATGAGCCTGGACCGAAAAAGTCTAGAGTTACAACAGCAGCATCAGCAGAAACTTCATCTCTATCCAAAACTCTCTTCCGTTTCCTTCCTTTCCTTTCATTTTGCTCGTCGCCAGATTCTATAGGGTGTGATCCATTACGGGCAGCAAATAGCTGGGGTGTATTTGCTGCCCCAGCCGACGGTAAAGAGTTTGATATAAGTTGCTTTGTAGAGGCAGAGCCCGTTTTAAGTTTTGTTGAGCGGGTGAGGAGCTTGAAAGCGTCCATCTTCAGTGCCTTCTCACTTCTGACCGTTTATTAAAACTGAATTGTCTGACTATCCGTAAATTGTTTCGATGTCCACGGTTGATTTTAAGAAATTTAAACCGTAACTCGAATGTCACGTGGTCTATGCTTTGAGACCAGATGCAAACCCAGCATTTGCATTCAATATCACTCAGTCGGTTATAAACGAAATTTACAAAGAAATTCTTATGGATTAGCTATCTCCAGACGAACGAAATCTAGTTTTGAAGAATATATTCCGACAACATAAGTCGCACGACGGAACCTAAACAATCAGTAAAGAGACCGCCTTATAAAGTCCATCATCTATACAGCCTGAAGAATACGATAATGAAAAGATGGGAAGCAGTGAAGGAAGATATGTGACAGAAATTTTTACAAAAAAAAGTTTTAGTTTATCTAATGCGCATGTCCAGTGTCGCCTCTGTATCCGACAAGTTTAAAGCGCCCAATAATCTCACCAACAGAAAAAAATCCAATCACCTCAGCAGCTGTAACACCAGCAACCGCCAATTGCTTCCTATCAATGTTCCGGAGAAGGGGAAGGATGTCTTCTGCATTGAAAGACTTGGATAGTTGGGAGATCAAGGTCGATGGCTGGCGGAGGTTTCTGAGTAGAGGTTGATAATATCCCTGGAAAGTCGCTAGGCTTCTAATCGAAAGAAGTTAGACCATGGGCATAATTTAAAAGCTCATATGAAAGAGACCTGTGAAACTTACGGCAGGGTCATCTTCTGCCCTCTGAATACTATTTTCGACAGCTCCAAACCAACTCTGGAGTAGTAAATCGTGGGAGGTATTAATGCTGTGAAGTTTGGTTTGAATCAGTAACTATTCATCCGACAAATGGCTTCTCATTACCCAATTTTGAACAATTGAACAAAGATCAATCTTCTTCGGGATCCTCAACCATGCTAATGACATCAGATTGTGCTCTTACAATCAACGATAGCGATAAATTTGCCTGTTCGTCCACCCACTTTCCTTAAGGCTCTACTGACTCCTGAGAGGGCAGTTGCAATCGCAGGACCCGCAGTGGCAACAGCTTTGGAAATTCCCTGAGAAGCCTTTGTCGCAGCAGAGGTAGCAGTGTCCTTGGTCTTGGTTGCAGCCTCAGTGGTTGTGGACGCAAATCTGAAAGCCGGTCTTCGGATCAAATATCGCGACTGCCGCAGAACGGCGCGGGAGATTGAGATAGACATCCGGGAGGCGGGATGGAGCGAGAGGCGGAGGAGGCCAAGAAAGGGAGGAGGGAGAGGCCCAGGAAAACGGATGGCTCTCAATGGCAGCGGGGAAGAGGGCAATGCGGCGGGCTGTCGGTTGACGCTGTCGAAGATTTTTGTTTGTACATTTTTGTCGTCGGAAGGTTCAGGGAGGAGAGAAGATTTGTCAGCATATCACGTGGCGCGGCTGTACTTTTCACACTGGGAAAGTTTTCTTCTCTGTCTCTTACTATGGAATGGAATGGGGATACTCTGCAGTTCTAGCTTGAGTTGCTTCTACGTCTCATCTGTTTCATTATATTAGGGCTACCTTGGCTCCAGATGTCTTCCAAGTCCTGTACTTCTCTATCTACTTTTAATACCTATCAACATGCTGGTGATGGGTTGTTCTGTCAAACAAAGCTTAGAGCACTTTTTGAGCACACTCTAAAGACTCTACGTGTATGCAGGAGTTCATTGATTGTAATGTTTTTGTCTTCTTCGTTTTGCTTTCTTACTCCATCAATCACAATGCCACTAAGTTCTAAGATTGGTTAACGCATAGTTATTGCTTTATTCCAGGATTGAGATGGCAAACGGGTGTAGCTCTGTCTGCCGCTGTCGTTACACGTTGCCAATCACGAGAGCAACTCATTTTTCTATAATGTATCGGCATCCCTGATTCCAGTTATTTTTGCCAGGGGAAATCCTCCGATCAATCGGATGTTGTCTTCTTTAGTGCCTATGCTGGTCTTGACTTTTGCAGAGACTGTCACATCACGTACAGATAGACAACTTGACGTAACAGCATCTCAGATGAACGATATAGTTCTATCCAGCAAGTAGTAGCGTTCAAAGGATTTCCCATTGGCAAAAATGGATACTTTGTTCTACTTTGAAACCTTCTGTGACTTTCAATTGAATTCGAATTCTACATAGGCCGGTGCCCTTCTCTCCACCAATTTGAAGGGATGTGGTACCCTTTCGTAAAAACGCATTGTGTGCATCTATGAAAGTTTGTCGTCTGTTGTCAAGGAGTTCTTTAAATCTCAATATGTTCACTTTGCCCTCTGGAAGATTCTTTCAGATACCCTCACCTACAATGCTTACAAGCTGTGGATTCTGACAATGATGCATCCACAGCCGTCTATTTCTCTTTGGATAACTTTCTATGTCCTTTACCACAAATATTCTTATAATTAGAATCGATGGACTGGACAAATGTTGGTGGTTCAAGTTGAAAATGTCTGAAATAAAGTTTGACAAGCCATATCCCAACCGGCAAAAGCGGTTGTGGGGAAAGCCTGCCCTGCAAAGACTTCTACGCCATTTTTCTCAGAAAAGCAAAGGTTCCGATTGTGAGCATACCGGCATTATTGCAGGAGGCAGGAATCAAATTCCTGCAAATTCACACCGTTTACATCAACAACCGTTTTACAGACTTGGCAAATGCGAACTAGAAACGGATACGTATCCCTCCAACCTACCTCCCAGAAGTCATGCTCGCGATGGGAGAAGGACGGCAAACGAAACTTTCAACCCAGCATTATCTGCTGTACCATATACGCTGCCTTGCCCTTCAATCTTATTCATTGCACATGTCGTCAATCACGATAGTCGGTATGAAACCATATTGCGCAGGAAAAGTAGTACCAGAAATCCGATACCCCTAGTATACCAAACCCAAATATCCATCCCCGAAAACATTGGCACCGATCAATCATGCAGTACGAGCAGTGCTCCAGTTCCTGAAATTCCAGGGAAACTGTTGTCAGGGCTTCTCAACGGCGACGCTGCCGTCAAAATCCTTGACAATTTCAGTGCGTTTCTCATCATCAGTCCGACTTGCCAGGGTGACCGTGTGCTGTATGCGTCTGAAAGCCTATGGTCTTCTGAAGATTTCGAGAAAGAAGAACTTTTCTTACACAAGAAGCGGAACCATGGTCAAATGACTGATATCATCACGGAGATCACTGAGGATGGGAATGAGAGGTCGCATCTCATGCTGTTTGGGGACCTTCCAACCGTTGGAGGGCGTAAGGGACTTGTTCTCGTGCCACTCATTGACATAACTAACTTTCTTGACGCTCTCACGGTCAGCGATCTAGAAATCGAGCAACTTTTGCCACAGATATATTCAGCCGATACCCAAGGCGTAGGTTCGAAGACAAAATCGGGGTCAGAGATTATGCAACATGTCATAAACCGCGTGGCCAACAGTATTCTAGCCCTCTACAAGGACTATTTTACCCTCTCGAAATCTGCAAAGGAGATGAGTTTTTACGAAATTTCTCACGTTTCGCCCAAGGTCTATGTTGACAGAGATTTCATGACTGGACACTTAACGCATACTCCGGAAGCTGTGATAAATCAAATCAGTAAGCTAATGGGACAATCCCAGCGCTTTTCCATTGAAATTAAATGGGGGGATGTGGGGAGAGCTAAACGCCTTTACTGTATCCCCATGTTGGGTGGGAAATACAGTCACTGGCTTTGCATGTTAGTCGATCCTGTCCATCCTGTTTTCTGGCAGGACAAATAGCAACGAGATTTTTATTTATTTTACTTTATTATCGATATCCATATTTAAATGCTACGAACTAATGACTATAAATTGGTACAATCCAAAATCATGGCCCCAAAATCTTTTGTATATGCATGTCTGTTGGACGGGAGTTAGCAAATGACCAGCTCCATAACGTAACGTTCTCCTCACGCCCAACCATAATCTCTGGCTCAGCCTTCTCAGGCACAGACCATTGACATCGTCGTCCAGAGAAATTAAGCCGCGTTCCATGACAATCATGACAGCTATAGCGGTAAAAACTTTTAACATCAAGGTTTGTCCCAAAGGTGGAATCTTCAGACACCGGCTCTCAAGTTATCCAACCAGATAATACCATAGCTGGAGGAGTAAATGATGTGTTCTCTACATGATAAAGTGTCTTGGAAGCGATGGATCATGGACATCTGGTAGAAGAGGAAGGGATATTACCAGTCCTATCGACAGCTCTGAAACTGGTCGCGGGTAACGGTATGGTAAAAGGATTTGCGTACTCGTCGACTATCTTGTCGATTTCGGACATATTTGCCTTTTTGCATAAAGTGTCAACTTCAATTTGTAAATAGGTGGGTGGATGGATGGATTTGTGATAGTAGTTTGTAGGTTGCTTCTTGAGAAATTAGCGAGGGGATCTGGTATGTTCAACCTCACTACTTTGAGACTGGATATTGACAAAGGCAGATATAGCGAACGAAATTAGTTGTCTTCATAAACCTTGTCCATGTTTACTCATTTGCTTTCTTCATTCCTTCCCCTTTTCCTCTTCCCTTTACTTCTTGCCATCTAAAAGATCGGTATATCCAAAGTCATAAGGAAACATTCAGTATGAGCTAAATTGGGAGAGAAGGAAATAGTCAGGAAATGTATCTCCATTGATAAAAATAATGGTACACTTAGAGCATCACCCAGAAGACTCCATTTTCCGTTTGTTGTTTTTGTTCCTCATATCCAAGCCAAAACCCCCATATGAAAATCTTTAACCAAAATCAAGAAGAATCAGAGACTCGCGAAATCAGCCCTCCCAAAAATCTCCTCGTTTTTTTCTCAACTTCACAATGCCAAAATCAGCACCAGAAGTTGTAAACAGTTTTCTACCTTCCCAGTCCCAACACTAAATTCACAAAATATCAACGGACAAAGCTTTTACTGAGGGAATTCGATATCGAGATGATGTGTGAAAATGAGCCGCCAAACTCGAACCAGAAGAAGCAACGATACCATGGAAACACAAGGAACCACAAAAAGCTAACAAAAGAAATTCCGTAAGACACCGGGGCCAGACGTATCCAACCTATGCATGCAAAAAGTATGTACTCAATATCAATGAAAATGAAAAAGAAAAGAAAACAAACAATAAAGAAACAAAATAAAAGGAAAAAAATTATTAAAAAGAAAGCATGAAACAGAGAAAGGAAGAGAGAGAGATAAGGAAAGAAAACCGCTCATCGTTCTGACGTTTCGCATTGGGAACGTTGCAAGAGGTATCTCCATATAAACCAAGGAAAAGGTGGGACGAGGACGTTGAAGCACGCGCATAAGGATCCATCCACATCTGTACTCACCACTAATTAAAAGTTTTCGACAGTATCTTTCTCTGTACTTTCCTCTCCACCTTGTATCCGTTTTCACGGGTGGATTATCCCTGTCCTAGCCTGAGGGGTACACAAGTTCAGAGTGATCACACTTTAAGGTTGTAGTTACTCAATTAACATGCATCGATCTATTAGTCAAAACCCTATCAAGTAAGCTTCTTCGTAACCCTTAGTCTTGGAGGGAGTGCGAGCGCTGCCAGCCTTGTGAACTGCCAGCTACTCGGTTCATACGGACCGGTTGAGGTGTTGATTCTGCTGAGGAGGGGTGTGCCAGCTGGGGCGGAGATGGGTGCTTATCAATGGCGGCTTCTTTTCTCTCAGCTTTCAGCTGCTTGTACGTCATAATGTCATCGACGTTCGCCTCATAGGCTTCAGGGTGGGGAGTGCCGATTCCAGAATCTGTTTCCAGGGCACTTCCGTCATCACCATGCATTTCGATAACAGCATTCCGAATTTCCCGCGTGACACCTTTTAGTGCATCAATGCCAGCTTTCTCGGCTGCGTGAGCATGGGTTGGGTGTTTGGCGCCTTGGGAAGTACGGCGGAGATAGGATCGGACAAAGAAACGGACAAAGAGGAAAGTCAGAGGCAAGAGGTAGAGGATGTTAAGAGAGAGAGCAAAGGTTTGGCCAGAGGTATCCAGGCAGGTGAAAGTACGGGGTTCTAAGACATATCGGGTTTCCTGTTTCGCAAGAAGAGCCTGCACTGCTTGGCGTCCGTCTACGCCAAATAATTCTCCGTTAGAATTAAGCACATGCTCAGCAACTCCCTCAGCTCCAGCTGCACGGAGAGCCAGCTTCTTGAGCCAAGGACTCATACCTCCAACGGTGTCATTCGGCGCAACAGCAACAGCGGTGACGGCATCAGAAATAGCAGAGGTCAAAGAAGTCATGGCAACCGAACGGGGAACACCAATCGGGAAAGTGTAGGAAATGAGAATATAGCAAGCAGCCAAGGTGGAGCCAAAAACAAATTGTGTGATCTGAAGGGAGGTCAAGCTGCGCTTAATGGCAACAGGCACGCGAATGGATAGTGCAGTCAAGGTGTAGTAGAGATACTGTATAGAATTAGGTTCAGGTACACACCTCTTTCGCAAGCAGCAGAAAAGGGTAAAAAACATACCATCATAGCGTGAATGGCGGAATTAAATAGAGGAAAGATCCAAATGGGAGTCGCCATATACCTAATTCCAGCCCACATACACATCATGGCACCAGCGTGGTGGTATGTCTGGAGAGTGGAACTCCTCTTTCCCTTGGCCAGGATGATTGCGGTATCGAGAACTTCGTAGAACTTGGAGAGATAAAAAATCCAGCCCAAGAAGGCCAACCCTTCATTCCAGAGACGTCCAACATCAGTCGAGTCAGGTACGCCACCAGGTCCCAGCTTGTATTCCGGGCTGATCATGGTCCATTTCTTTTGGGCAGGATCATAGAAAGCAGCATTTCCCAAACCACGGGGACCGTTGATCTTGCAGAGGGCATCGGCAACTCTGACGACGTTATACTTTTCGCCACGCTCGGGCCAGGTGTGGTAGAAAGCGCGGATCATACCCGCGAAAGTCCAGGCAGAGTAGACGGCCAAGAAGACATTGTGGAGGATGACAAAGGCCTTGAAGGCGGTCGTTTTACTCAAGGCCCAGGGTTTGTAACCTCTCTTCTTATTGACACGGTTCATCAGGACAACAGAGGTGGCATAGAGGGCGGCGATGGTGAGAGGCACCTGGGGTGCCAAGGCTTTCCGGTAGAGATCCGCAGGAATATTGAAGGGCTGATACCATGTTGGTTTGGCAACAGTGGGCGGCGGGATGGTTTCCGGGAGGGGTGAAGGCGGGAACTTGAAAAACGAAGAGGGTGGAAGGCTTAGATAGACAGAGGAACTCATGGTGGGGTTGGTGGTGGTGGTATTCCTGTAGCCAACACAATAGAGGTGAATCAGTGGGTGGTTTGAGGATATACCCAGTATGCCCACCGGATAATAACCCTTATGGAGGGGTATTGATTTTACTGTTGAAGGATTCACCAGGAAGATGAAGGGGCTGGAATAGTAAATGTCTAATAAAAAAAAATTAAAAAAAATTAAAAATAAAAACAAAGGAGGGAGCAGAAGAAAAAGTGGAAAATCTTTGGGAGATCAAATGGAGTTTACCGGTGATGTTATAATTATATCATCCGGGACTGGGAGGCAAGAATAATAGGGTTAGAGTTGAAACTCTGGTTGTCAAAAGGAAAAAAGGAGGAAGAGGAAGTAGAAGTGTGTCGACAGCAGTGGTCTCAGAGACAATCTTCTTGGGTATATTAACTGAAGAAGAGAAATGAAATGAATTGAATTCAATTGAAAAAAGAAATGAAATGAAAAAAACAACAAGACAAGATAAAGAAAAGAAGCTATAATCTGGAAATCAAGGCCTATGGGTCTGGGAGATCCACACCAGAGCAGAGCATTCAGCCCAAGTAGTAAAAAAAAACTATGGCAGTTAGCGCAGGACAGCGGATTGTTGGGAAACGAAAAGCCTGGGTCCAATTGGCAACCTGAGGTGTGATCCCGAACCACAGAGAGATAAACCACCAGAGTCGTTGATGCGGAGAATAATGCAAGTTCATCACAAACATAAAATAAATAAAGCTTTCCAGGCAATGCGAGACCAGGAGCCCAGCGGAGGGAGAGATGAACCATCCGTCAATCGTTGGGATAACACAGTTAAAGACGTCAGAATATAACTACTTCCTTCTCCGTCCTGCTGCGGCAGTGGGGTGTTAGTTAGATCTAGAGTACTTGGGTATCATCGCCCATTTGGTTGTTGATATCAAATATATCTCCCTCTATCTTGAAGCTGTTTGGTGTCGTGCGGTTCTCGCTCTAGCTTCGTCGCGGCTCTTTTGACTTTTTGACGAAGCTGGAAATTTTTGATTTTTGCTGAATGCGTGCGTTGCCTGCTCGGGACTAGCGCCATGGGTCCCTACTTTCGCCGAACATCAACCCGATCATTGTAGGTCACCTGACCGAGGGTTCTGCTTATATAATAATTCCCCGCCGGCTGAAGAGCTTCCCCATGGCTGTATCTGTCTGTTATGTTGGAGGCGGACGAGTCAAAGACGCTCGCCACATCCCCGAGGTTGCTTGTTGACCCAAAGTGTTGGTTTTAAATCTTTTGAGATTTGTTGGGGACCGAGAACACCCCACATTTTTTTTTGTCTAGCTTTTTCGCGGCAGTCTGGTCGTTCCACTGCTCCTCCAGGGGTCTCCCGTGTGCCACAATTTTGAATCCCTGAGGGGCAACAGAGATAAGATTGATGAAGAAAAACGACGCCAAAAAGAGCGGGGGAGGATTATCGCTTCTTTATTGGACCGCAACTAATTTACTACATTTTCATGTGGCTCTTTAGCTAGTAATAGGTACTATATGGAGAAACCACCCGACCACTCCATCATTGGACATACATGGTTCGGCAGGGGAGCCGTACTCTTTGTAAAATGTCTGCATAAAGCAATTAAACACCAGAAACAATAGAAGAAATAGGAACTGCAATAAGTATTAGATAGTCTCCCCCGCTTTGCACCGGAGATGTCTTTTAGATATTACAGGAACAGAGATGACAGAAAAGTAAAGAGAGGCCCGAGACAGACAGCTTTGTGATAGTTAGGAACCAGCAGCAAGAAAAGGAAATTCGTATCACCAGCTAGAACACTCTGCAAACAAATCCACGTCATCAGCACTCCCTTAACATTCGCATTCTGCTTAAGCACTTCAATCTCCGTGTTCCTCCAACCCTCACTCTCTCCTCTCGCCTCCCCATCCCATCCAACATATCCCTAACCGTCCGAAAATGGCCAACATCAATCTCTAATAATGCATTCCCCACCGCTACCCCAACCATCTCCAAAATCCCCTCAGCCGACATCCCGCCCCCAGCCACTCACCCAAGCACACACCCCCGGTGGTGGTGGTGGTGAGAGGGAGTCGATGTATTTATTCCCACTGGGAGGTCGAGCAGTGGACTGGTGTTGGTAGCGAGGGAAGTGCTGGACAGGGGAACGTAGGCTGCTCGGTAGCAAACCACTTCGTCTCGAGGGAGAGAGCTGCGTGAAACGGTGCGCTTTGCGGGGTTGATAGGGGTGGTACGGGAAGGGAAGGGGGGGGGGTTGGTGATAGGCTGCAGTGCATGGTTGCTTTCGGTTCGTCGTTAGTCATTATTGATGGTTGGAGGATTGTTGAAGAGTTAGGGGAATGTGAAGATAAAGACTTGTCTGCAGTTTGACGTGAGCAACTTCCAACCCAAAATGAGGAATTAGCATATAAGTAAAGTTAGGGAGGGAAGTGAAGAACTGCTACAAATAACTGACAGCAGAGCTATTTATAACCCGAGGCTGATCTGATATTCAATTCAAAACCAATATTCCTAGGGAGCAGGCGAGATGGTAGCAATGTGCCATGTATACAGAGGTAAAGAAAGAATAAAAAATAAATAATAACAAAACCAACTCAATCCAATCAATCGACGTTGGTAAAGAATATTGAATATTTCCCTTTTGCATGCCCGATTCTCCCGTAAACGGATCAATTGACACCTCATGGGAAAAATGAAGCAATGAAAAGAGGTAAACACCATTATGCAATTAATCGCCATTATTAGTTCCTTGACAGCCATAATACTAAGGGACAGAAATCATAAAATTATGCATAGGGGTCATAAAGAATACAAACGCAAAACAGAGGCCGTAAAAATAACAAAGCTAAACCACAAAGGTCAATAATAATACTAGTAATGATATGATGCCGGAATTGGGGGAGCATGCAAAAAGTAAAATAAGACCAATGATTCCCCTTTTACACCTGTTGACACACAGCATACGCATAGGCTCATTTGTGAAGATAAATGATACCCTTAAAAACACCGTGGAGATCCAAAAGAAAAGCAAACAGACCACCGATCAAATCCCCTTGGAGAAACGCTATTGTATGATTCAACCACGAGTCTTGATCCCCACCCGCATGCAGATTTAACGCGGCTTGGTCCCGAGGGGTAGTGGTGGTGGCGGTGGTGGTGGAGCAGCTCGAGGATGTCCATCAACAGGATGAACTTGCATACCCGGCTTCTGTGAGGGAGTGGGTGGAGGAGGAGGTTTGCGGCTATTCAATGCTTCCAGATCTGGTCTGTTATATGCATAGGCGCCTGATGGCTGGGGGCTATAAAGCGCATTAGCATGGGGTGGAGGTTGGCTATCCGGGCATGCTGGGGACTTCTGATCTTCAATAAAACTGTTGATTCGCTTTGAAATGCCATACTTTTGGTCTATCTGGAGCAGTTTCTTCTTTCCAGAGTCAATCTGTTCACTGTGACGCTCGCGGAAATTCAATGCCGTCGAAACTGCATTTCGCGCATCGTTTGTTGATACAGAAGTGGGGTCCCGGCTAAACGAATGCGCTGTTCGCACCGCATGTTGCTTTTGCTCCATGGTGGTGCCTTCTGAAGGCTTCGATGCACCAGAAGAGCATAGAGTTGGAGACGATGCGCTAATTTTGGCAAATCGCGCCTGAAGCTCATTCTGCGGGGAGTATGGTGATGCTCCTCCGGTTGATTTGGGAGCCGGTTCCTGCCGGTCAGAGTTCCCTCCATTGATGCCGAGACTGGGGACGGAAATGTCCGCCTCGCCCAGGAAATTAATAGACCTTTGGTTTATTGTCGGTACCAGTCCATTTGTTGTAGTTTCATGTGCTGGAGGTGGTGGGGGAGATGAAGATTGAGATGGTTGTGGATGTGGATGTGGATGTAGTGCGCCTCGTGGTGGTAATCTAGGTGGCAAAGCTGGTTTTGGTGTGAGGCTTGGGTTGGACTTAGACACATCTGTTGACCCTGTTGAGGTGTGACTTTGGTGAATGGGAGGAGAAAGCACATTATGCGTGGATACTCCTGTGGTGTTTGCCCTGTACGGGACAGGAGGCGGGGCCCTCTTCGAGTTGGCTTCTTCCTCAGCATGGAGTTGTTCCTGTGGTGATTGAGACTGTGAGGAGCTCAAAGGGGGTCTTAACAGGCCGGTGTCTGAAGTTGAGGTCGAGCTCAAAGTTCTCTCAACACCGAGTCGATTGATGTGTTTTGGTGGGGGAGGAAATGACGCAGGGTCCTTGAGAGAGGATAGTGGCCGAGATACATGCTCAACACGGGAATCATTGGAACTGCTACATTTCCCTTTGCCCACCCAGCCGGCCTATATCATTTTAGGGAATAAATTAGGGATAACAGGCAGCTAATTGTATGGGCAGGCGGAATATTCTTGATGAGGGGTTTAACAGAGGAGCAAAGGAAACAAGACGTACAACTTGGTTTATGCCTTTAAAATCACCCCGCCAACTCTCCCTACCACCATCATTTCCCTTTGGATGCCACCCATCTTTCACCAAGCTACGGAGTCCGCTCATGATTTCCCGCCGACAGTCCAGTAAGGGAGGGAGAAATCTCTTCTATTTGAGAACTCAACTATCAAGAACAGGGGAATAGCCAAAGTGTGCTCAGATATGCCAACAGCATCCACTTATAGTTGTTTTTCTGGGCGTTGTGGTTGTCTCAATGATGTTAGTTTGTTGAGGTTCATTTCATTGATTGATCTGATTCTTTCCTGAAGACGAGGAGGTTGTTATTTATATTAAACAAGCTCGCCGAGCTATCAGGCACGTGACTAGAGTAGCCGTAATTGTCAGGGATCAGGTGACCCCTATTTACTCCCTAGATTATTGGTTGATTGGGCCTTTTTACGAGGTAACTGGTCCAACTGTAATAACACATTTCTCCACTGAGCGAGCCACAAATTCAAATAGTTTTATTTTCCTAACCTCCCCCACCACAACAAGTATGACATTCAATTCACAATAACAAGAAAAGGAACTCTATAGAATAGAGGGAAGATTTGAACCCATGGTTTTCACTCTTAAAAGCATGAATATAAGCTACATATATTTGTTTTAAAAATGTTATACTTTACACTTAATAACATCATCAACTTAATGACTAAGCCTTAAGAATAACCTCCCATCAAGGAACTATCTAGATCACGTGTAGCAGGCGTAACCATGTACTAGCTAGCTAACTAATATACGCGTCTATCACGTGAGGTGGGGCGTCTACCGGATCATCGAAGTTTCAAGCAACGGAATAGTCATGGTCACGTGAGATTTTACTCTGGCTACCGTACACACCAACTTCAATTGGCTGACTGAAGAGGCGCAAGTTTCGGCCTTGTTGCTGAGCGTGAAGCATTTGGATTGGATGAACAACCAACATGCTCCTAAAAAGGGTTTGAGTTGGAGCAATAAAGTGCCGATCGAAATTGAGCAAACAAACCAAACTATTTCCCTGCAAGCCTAGCTAGGATTTTGAGGGCGAACGAGCAAACTCGAGGTGTCGAACACTAAATTCAAATGGATTTCACTGACGTTTGATTCCTCTGAGATAACATTTAAGCAAAAGTTTTCAGTTTGAAATTCTCAGAATATTCCTTGCTCATATTCGCAACGAGACACGTGTAATGAAAGTGGTCTGTGAACCTTAAGCTCTCCAAATCATCGGTTCATTCTAACATTTGGGAGAGCATCATGACAACGGCCCGATCGAGCACGCAAATCCTGAGCGTGAAACAGACATTCACGTCTGCAAATCGACTGTCTACAGACTACTGATGAAGCACGGCCTTTGAGACTGCGGAATCGTGCCTCGGCTCTATGGGACGATGGAATGGATGGACGTCACACGTTATCAACATCACCTGAAGGTGTTTCTTAACGAGAATCCTTCTAGCGCCATCTTCTTGGAATACATTCCCAATATGGAAATTATCTATCTGCATGATTTTACAAAGAAGCAGGGAGAGGCTTTGATCCGTGGCATTCGAGAGATCCACAAAGTGTTGGTTCTGCACTGCGACGCCAAACTGAGGAACATGATGATTGTCAAGAATGACCCGGAAAGTGTGGTGTGTTTAGACTTCGACAGAGCTCAAACCTCCCACGCAGAGAGCCTTACCAAGAAGGCAACGAAGGTTAATTGAGGATGAAGAGCTCATGATATCTCAATTCGTCGATTCACTAGTGAATGATCTACTATTTACAGCATATTAGGTCACAGTCAAACACTAACCAGGATCATAACTTCTTCTTAAAGAAAGTTGATTATAAGCAAGACGAAACTGATGAGACTTACCTCTACTACTCACCCAGGTCAATTTCTCTGCATTGAATTAAAAGTGTGTTTGCGGAGATGGTGCGATAACCTTTCGAGACTGTTCTGTGAGGAATAGCATTCAATGATCGATGGAAAGATTTGTAGATCGTTGAAGGGACCCATAATTTTTAAGGTCGAAAGCATGATCATAGGTGTGGCGACTCTGTTGTTTAAGGGGTTCACTATCATGTATTCTAGACAAACAACAAACCAAAAAAAAAAAAAAGCCCCATTTCATAGGGGTAATAGTTGTCTCTATTTTGCGTTTTGTCATGCCATATGCCGATTCAGATGCCGCAAATGCGTGTTTCATAGTAATGCCTTGAATCAAGCGGTAGTCATTGTCCAATTACTCCATCTCAATGGTACCGGGGGGTTTGCTGGTGACTGTTTAGCGTAAACGAAAAAAAATGCTCAGCATTCAAGTTTGCATTAGACACATGACTCAAAAAAGGAGGAGAAAGAGGGAAAGCTTACTGTCGTAGACCACCCGGCATACGCCCTTAACCTCATTCACAATTCGCCTGCTAACCGTCTTCAAGAACTCGCCATCAAACGGATACCAGTCTGCAGTCATGAAATCAGTGGTCTCCACAGCCCGGAGAGCAATCACCTGGTCGTGAACCCGCTGGTCGCCCATCACGCCAACCGCCTTGACGGGGAGAAGTGCAGCAAAGGCCTGGCTAATTTTGCGGTATAGACCGGCTGCTTTGATCTCTTCGATGAAAATGTGATCCGCTTCCCGGGCAATGCGGACTTGTTCCTGTATAACTATTAGTAAGATGGCTTTTGTTTCAGCAGGGTTTGTATAAGCAGCTGCTCACAGGGGTGACTTCTCCAAGGATTCGGATGGCGATTCCAGGACCAGGGAATGGGTGGCGCCAGACAAGTTCCTCCGGAATACCGAGTTGTACACCCAGTTCACGGACTTCGTCCTTAAAAAGTTCGCGGAGGGGTTCGATAAGCTTCAGGTGCATGCCTTCAAGTAGACCGCCGACATTATGGTGGGTTTTTATAGTTGCGCTGGGCCCCTTGAATGAGATACTTTCAATAACATCAGGATACAAGGTACCCTGAAGAAGCCATTCAATCTCACCCTCGTTGTGTGATCCCTTAGCAGCAGCCGCGATCTTCTTAGCCTCTTCTTGGAAGACCTCGATAAATGTATTACCAATGACCTTCCGTTTCCTTTCAGGATCATCCTTGATGCCCTTCAGCTTGCCAAGGAACCGCTCACTGGCATCAACCACAGTTAAATTGACACCGAGATGCCTCGTCAATGTTTCCTTGACAATAGCCGCCTCGTTCAAGCGGAGAACCCCATTGTCAACGAGAACAGCATGGAAGCGATCGCCAATTGCTTCTTTCATGAGCTTTGCAGCAACTGTAGAATCAACACCTCCGCTGACAGCTCCAATGACCTGTCCCTTTTCCCCAACCAATTTTCTAATGCGCTCGATTTCTTGGCTAACGAATTCTCCCATCGTCCAGTTTTGCTGTGCTTTCGCGATTCTGACGGCGAAGTTTCGAAGAATATCCTTCCCCCGAGGGGTGTGTGTAAGCTCTGGGTGAAATTGGATGCCATAGAAAAGCTCCTCTACGTGTGCGATTCCGGCAAAAGGGGCGTTAGGTGTACTAGCAATTGTCACAAACTTCTCCGGGAGGTGCGATAGCTTATCTCCGTGTGACATCCAAACCACGAGATCTCCCTCTAGCCCTTCAAATAATATATCGATGTGCGCAGCTTGTTCCGGGTGACGCTTTACTGTTAAATTCGCATGACCGTACTCCCTCTTGTCACCAGCTGAGACACTTTTGCCATAGTTCCAAGCAATCATTTGCAGCCCGTAACAGATCCCTAGCACAGGAACTCCAAGTTCAAACACACCTGCAAATAGGGAGTGTCAGCTAGGGTAGAGTAAGTCAAATTCGCATACATATAGCCATATTAATGGCTCACCTGGGTCAACGTGCGGGGCGTCCGGCGCATACACGGAGTAGGGACTCCCAGACAAAATAACACCCTTTGGTTTCCATGACAGGTCGGCAATTTTCTGAGTGCATGGGAGCATTTCAGAGTAAATGTTAAGCTCGCGAAGCCTCCTCGTGATAAGATGAGAGTACTGGGAGCCAAAGTCTAGGACCCTGATCGGTTGATGGGAGGAATGATTAGCTACATACTTTCATGGGAGCGTATTGCATTGTTTGGGTTGCGGAACTCACAAAATCGTGTCGAAAGCCATATGAGGCTCAACGAACGGAACACCAGATACTACAGCCATTATAGAATTATCTGCGAAGTAATCAGGGAAAGTTTTGGCGGGATTGACTCCAAAGAAGAAAAGGAAAGGAAATTGTTTGTGAGATGAGGAGCGGAAATTCAGGATGTAGATGAGTCGACTTCACTAAAGGCTTGGCCCACCTCGCCATGTGACCCGACCTCATCCTAGTCAGAACAGAACCTCTCACAATACACTGTAAATCATTTACCAACTACATAGTCCTTATACCAGCAAAACTATTTTACAAAAACCTTGCTCATTTCTATATGTTTTCACTGAAAAAATGAAATAAGAAAAATGTCAGTAGTATTCAAAAGAACTAGAGAAAATGATAAAAAGAAAATAAGATTGATAAATTTGTTCAGTTTAACTTAAATGATTAAATATACTTTTACACTTCTCATTTCTAAACTGTAAGTACTTAGAAACTATTTAATAATTGCATAGCAAATGATTAGTAACTGCTTTAAATAACTGAATAATTAATAACTACTAAGAATTGATAAATGATTGTTAAGCAGTTGATAAACAGTTAATAAGTGTTAGGCTCAGCGTCCGACCGAGCCCGACCGAAGGCCGGTGCCCGGTTAGACTCGACGTCGGATTAAGCTCGGCGCCCGATTAGGCCTAATCCATATCACGTGACCACACGACCATGCAGGTGGTTATAATCCACGCAGGCCCCAGCACCCCCTTTCATCCCATCAAGCTTAGTATTTCGTTATATAGCAGTTAGCAACGCAGAGAGTCTTTCTTCTTATGCAGCTCGCATTCGCTCCCTAACAATAAGCAGCTAGTATAAATACTTTAAAAATCAATAATCTTAAACAGTATATACTACTATATGATGATATAAAGTTTTTGATCAAAATATTAACAGTTACTTAACTTTGAAAAAGAAAAAAAAAGTGATTTATAAGTAATTTAAAGCTATATAACAATTACTTAATATTTTAAAATTAAAGATAATATGAAGAATAATAAGAATAATAATAATAATTATTATATTTTAATTTTATATCTTTCTTAATTGAAAGATTCAAACTATTAATATAGTAAAATGATAAAAATATATATACTTTACAATCACTTGCTGAATAGTTATCAAGTAGTTGACAAATAATTATAAAGAAAGTATTATTATATTAATATATATATTATACTAAAGAAAAGTTTCTCATAGAGAAAATATGTAAATATAAAAAATAAATAAATTATAAAAATTTATTATTTAATTAATAATTCATAATCAATTGCTTATAAACTATTATAAAGATTATAATATATATATTAATAAGTTCAATTGCAGTAAAAGTGATAATGACTTGAGTTAAATACTAAAATAAATAATAGTAAGTAGTTATCAATTGTTTGTTAACTACTTGATAAGCAGTTGAACATCAGTTGTTAAGCATCTATAAAGCACTTCTAGTATTTACAACTTTTAAAGCTATACTGATCTTATTATCAGTCTCAATTCTCTGTTATTGTCATCATTCAGAAAATCATTCATATCATCATTAAACATCTAACACTTTTGAGTGTTGCAGACATGTTTGAAGAGCTTGAAAAGTAGTTGATAAATAACTACTATAGATGATTATGAAGAGAAATCATTATGGTAAGGTTTTTACCACCTGACCTCTCTTTATACATGCACAGTTCCTTGATTTGAATGTGTAGTCATGTGGGGAGGTCAGCCCAGCCTTTTAGCGAAGTTGTTCGATCTGTATGCTCGCGGAAATTTATTAACTAGATGGGATGGATAATTGATGACTCAGATTGACGAACAGTCCATTAGTTAGTTAGTTATAGTTAACTAACTAGTTAGTTATCTTATCTGATCTTATCTCATCTTGATCTCGATAGATCAAAGACCCAAGGAATCTATCTATACGACACTACAGCATATATCCTGGTAAATAAGAGGAATTCTCTCTCAGTGTATGCAGAATCTGTGTACGTGTAGTCATATAAATAAAGTTCCTACACTTAAACTGCCATCATGCCGGGAGTGGATAGACTGAGAGGATCCGAGCAGCCTACCTAGGACTCTTCTCTCTCGCGCGCGCTGCTCTTTCAAATGGTTACTTTCTTCATCCGTAAGCCTTAACTAGGAGTCTACAGAAGTGTCTACGTCAAACCAAAAGTTGGATTACGTGGTAAGAAAAAACAAATTGGCCTCAATTGGAGTCATTTTCTTTCTGATATATAGGTGGTTTCCAATTTATTAAAGATGAATTACACAAAGGTTGCTCAACATGGTGGCCCGCAAAAACTGGATATCACTACAGTGCAAGGAAAATACAGGGAGAGGAACAGAGAAAGAAAGAGAATTGAATAAAAAGAAGAAGAAAAAGAAAACGGAAGAAGAAACATTCGCAGAGTATCCCAAACCAGCATTCAACCACACTTCTCCGGAGGCTCTGGCAATTTCAACTGATACTCGCCATCACCCTGCATTACATCTGGTCCCGGATTTGGATACTTGAGTTCGAAATTTGCCTTGGGCGTCCAACATCCATTGTTGATATTCGCAAACAGAAAACTTGGGCGATCGCTGAAAGAAATCGCCTCTCCAGCGGATGGCACTGCATTGTTGGCGCTGCCAGTACTATCTGCAGTGATGTTGTTGGAGGGATTTTCGATTCTCGAGCCGTCCTTCCTACACCAGCATATAGGAGTATCAGGGGTGTGATGCTGAGGTTCATCCGGCCGAATCCACATGCGGCGACGACGGCCCTCGTTATCGCTTCCAACGTCTCCCTCCGGAGCTGTAATTCTCACAGCTGCACAGAGCATATTAAACTCCTGTTCCCGATTAACCCACGTCCAGGCGAACACCTGCTTCCCCACAGGAGTATCGTTTGGCACACGAAACCTAAACGTCTGCTTCTCTGGATCCGTTCCGCCATCTCTGTACGGACAGTTACCCTCGAAACTTTTTACGACCCTCCACGACTTCCCCTCATCGACGCTGAAGCCCACTTGGCACGATCCGCCATAGTGGTTGCCCGACCCGGTTAGGCTGAAGTTTTGCCCGGAACCAGCGGGCCAGGAGACAACTGGTTGGCCCTGCGTGGTGTTGAGATGGTTGAGGAAGCCTTTGCAAGGGAACGGAGTCTTGCTGCCGCAGCAATTGTAGGGATAGTCCAGGTAGGGGTAAGGAGTGTCAGTGACATGTGGATTGTTGGCGGCAGCGAAAGAAGGCGGGTAGTAGAGTTGCATATGAGCCTGCACAATCGTGTCCTTGAGGATGGCGATTATTATGAAGATGCTGAGTAAAGGTATCATTTTTCCCAGTGGACAGCTGCCTAGGAACTGGAAACGCGATTTGAAAGTTTGATTTGAATGGAAATATGGAGGGCGCCAATGAGAAGAGCATTGTATCGTTCCTATTGGATATACGCTTGACTGTCCGCTTGAAGGATTTTTAAAAAGCAAGAGAGGGTATTGCAAAGATAGAGAAAGACAAAAGCAATCCGATTATGAACACAACAAACAAAATAGTTGTTTATTGTTTTGTGTTTCTATATGAGCAATTGCAGATAAACAATGAATTTTGCATCAATGAAACAGTTTCTGAAAACGCTGACTGAAGTGCTTATGGCCAACACCTTGGTTTAAGTGGGTGTACCATTATCCAATGATTTGAAATCTTAGAAAAACACACATATATGTATGTGTGGTAAGGGATTGAAGAAAACTGGAATGAGTGAATCCTATCAAGTGCTCCATTCATTCTTCATAGACCATAAAAATTTTGATGTATCTTGTAGATCTTCAAGCATAAGAATTTATGCTTATGAGCGGGGTATCTCTGAGTGAATCTCATTGAGCATAACCAACCCTGTCTAAATTTCTCTGCCAATAAATCAAAAGCATCATTCTTTAAAACAATTCCTCACAGGAAGAGAAATGATCACAAGTATCCTTGCCCTTCCAACTCTATTCTATCTCCCACCAAAATCCGGCTTGTACGTCTTGACACCGCCGTCTTTCATTAACTCCCGTAAAGCCATAGTCGCATACTGGCTAGATCCTAGCTGTAATTTCAGAACCACCGCCAGCTTATCTGCAGTCTTGATATCGACTCCTTCCGTTGCATCTGAGGGCTCTGCTATCTTCTTGCCACCATTCAAAGCCATATTGAGCTTCTCAAGGTCCGTCTGCACAAATTGCTCATCATCGCCCGCATATGCCTTCACCTCAAACGAATAGTCCGGACCAGGTTTGCTAAGTAGTTTCCGATACCCGCCGCTCAAGCTGATATCCTTCCAGCTCCTTCGCATGTCAAACGGGTCCAGCTTGCCACCCCGCTTACTGCCCATAAATTCCTTGTAGAAGGTTTTCATCTCGTTGTCCGGGTAAAGGATACCGAATCCCGGCAATGGCAGGACAATATCAAAGATGCTATATTTGCCGCTCGCAGCCTCCTCGGCGGAGAGGGCACGAGCGAGCTCGAACATGTCCGCAGCGGGGGCGCTATCCCCCGCATCTGGAAGAATGACGACGTCGCCATCCGCATCAAATTCCTCGGTACCACCAGCGGCTCTAGCTCCTTCTTTTTCCTTGAAGTCGTTGACAAGAACAAGGTCGCCTGCGACAACCTTCTCGCCGTATAATCGCCAGCGCTCCCCGACTGCAAAGTTCCACACTAGCGATTGGTATGCATGGACGTACATGAGACGGAGACTCCGAGGTATGGTGCCCAGCGCACCAAAATAGTCATTCTTATGGCGACCCAGGTGTCTGATGATATTTGACTCAGCAGAGAATTTGCGAGGTAATTTATTGAGCGCCACATTTATTTTACCTGTCGTTTGGAACGCGTGGATTGCCTCTGCGCGCGCAATGTCGTCAGCACTTATAAGTGTTTTGCTGGCCGGGGACTCTGGCTGCGATTGTGACTGCGATGCAGACAGCGCCAGGGGGTTAAAATGCAATATACAGTCGCAGGCACCTTTGTAGTCTTCTTGAAGCATCTTCAACCCAATCGTATCAGTGCGGGTTGAGAAAGTCCCGAAACGCTGCAGGCCATAGTAATTGAAGTAACCTCTCTGGCGAAGGTCGTGAAGAGACCTGGACACAATTTCAGTGGCCCTTGCAACGGAATTGGCGCCCTTTTCTTCCGGATTAAACGGGAACTGGCAGTCGCGAAGCGTAATGATAAATTCATTGCCGTTCAGGTCACCAAGTTCCAGACGATGCTGGTGGTACTCGAAGTCGCCAACAGCAGCATTCCGCAGCGATTTACCCACGTTCAACAACCGGTCAGCGTAGATGCGGTATGCACTTGCCCGTTGGACCGTTACTCCGCGTCGATCCTTCGTCCCCGCAAAACCGAGCTGTTTTGCGTTTATTTTCATCTGCCGAGCTATGAAACTTATCACTTCCATGGTATCCTTGTTCTCCTTGTAGATTGTAAAATGTAGATGTTCTCCGCCCAGTTCATTCCAGCCCAGTTTCCCTTTTCTAGAGTCGCCCCCCGCTCCTCCTCTGCCTCCTCTCCCATGGGCACCTTTGCGCGATACGGGAATTGCAGTTATTACCATGGCGCCGTCATTATCCGTGGATGATTCCAGACGCGAGGCAAATATACGTCTGATGGCCTGATGGATTTTTGTGCGGATGTCTTTGTCTGTAATTACGCCGGACTTCACGCGACCCAGATCTCTTGCTTTTGCGATAGGATGCGCAAGAGCGCGATTGTGCAGGGCAAAGATCTGCTGTGCAGTTTCGCAACCGAAATATTCTTCGAGCAGCTTGTTGTCCTCATCCGACATCTGTAATAGTGTCAGTCACCAAATATGAACTAAAATATTTCTAGTAAGCATCCATACCTGGAAAGAGTGAGCCTCCGGAGTACCTTTCGAGGCATCTACTCCAGCGCCAGAGGTGGATTCTGCAACACCCATCGTGCCATTCTCCGTTCCTTTCGCAGTCTCCGAGCTTGTATTATTTTCAAGGGCATTGGGAGCAGGCTTTGAGGGTTCAGAGAGGCCCATGGCTGCCTTAAACGGCTGGGGCAGGTCGAGGTTTTCCAGGTGGAGAACCTTGCCTGAAGGGAGGATTTCATTGACCAGGAAGTCAGTATATCTGGAGGGTAACAAGAAGAACTAATTAGTTGGCCGTAGTAACCCAATGTGATCCGATGTGATCCAACATATGTATGTAAATGTATATGTGTACCTTTTCTTCAAGATACCGGAAAAGCCAGGTAGATGAGGGCTCACAAAATGTGTGATGCCGACCTCCGCCTCCTTCAGCGCCTGCGCATTCTGGTTGTCCAATGCGGCGGGAGGTTCAATCACAGAGACGGGGCCAATTGAAGAATTTGATGAGTCCGCATTGTTTGAGATCTTGACGCGCTTACGCGGGAATAGTTCTACGTCGGGGATTTCTCTCTCCATTGTTGCATTATGCAGATTGCGCTGGCACACAGATGTTGCATTTGACATCTGCGAGAACTGCGAGATGGGAAGGGTCTTAGATATGGGACACGCGTGCTAGCCGTCAAGATGGGTAAATGGAACCTCGACGAAGCCAAGAGCGCGGGGAACAATGTTCATGAACGAGGTTGGGTTGATGGTGGTTCATGCTGAATATTCTACGGTCCGAAGTTTGCGGAGGTCAAAAAATGCATGTTCTAATGCCAAGACATGGACAGCCCTAATTCCCTCTTTGGGAGATTTTTCAATATCCGGGGGGGAAAATGAGGGAGGCGAGTTATAGTCTACGATATATCTATCGGACGAGGTGTATCTAACTTCACCACTTAAGAGCATCGTCTATTTTTTCCTTGTTCTTCTTCTTCTCTTCATGTCTTCTCGCCCTCTCAACCCAACTCTCCTCAGGGCTCAATCCAGGAGGCTCCCAAATCATCACCACCGCTGATTTCCCCGCGATCCATTCTGACCTTCTCACTTCTTGAAAACCCAGTTTCTCATACAGGCCCAGCCCCTTGTCACTCGGCTCCAGCCCTACGGGAACATTCTCAGCCCTGGCTTGCTCAATACCCCAACTGGTCAACATCTTCCCTATCCCCCGTCGCTGGTAGTCGGGGTGCACTGCAAGAGTTGCCAGGTACCAGAGCTCAGGGAAGAGTTCAGAGGGGAAATTATCCTGTGTTGCTGATATGTATGTCTCTAGTTTGACTTTATCCAGGCTCTTGTCGGGGTTGAAGGTGTCGATGTATTTCTTTTCAATGTTTTGGAGGCTTCTCTCCAACCCTGGTAAATGATGTTAGATAGTTATATGAAATAGATATCTTAACATGTTGTTTAAGGTGAAAAGGTGGGGGGAGCGGGGTATCATCCTACAGCATCCAATAGTTTCATTATTCCTCCTCCACTTTCTTGCAGCGGGGGAGGTCCCCTCCCGCACCCACGCAGCATATCCAACAACCTTGTCTCCACGTTCTTGGACTTGACCAGTGAACCCCTCAATGTCATTAGGGGGATCCGCGACAGCAACATATGTCACATATCCAGGTGTCGATAGTCGTATCTTCAGTCTCCGCACAAAACTAGCCCGGTAATTGTCATAGTACTCCATCCGTCTGGGGGAAAGATACTGCCAGACCTCATCGTCGAGCATAGCATCCGCCACGACAGAGGCGGCATCGGGGAGATCTGCTGCCAAGAGAGGACGAATATGCATCATTGAGATTAGACTGCCAAGACCTCAGACAACAACCCCAGAGTCCAGACGACCACTGAGCACGCAGTCTTGCTGCTTCAAAAAATCTGCTATTTCCTTCTGGATAGGATGTTGCAGCTGAATCCGTTTCCACCATTTGTGCAATCTGCCAACCCGGCCTGAGGAGACTTCTGAGACCTGTTTTTCTGACAGGGATTCAATACGAGCGCTCAATTGATTCGTTAGTTAAATAACAGTTTGCAGGCTTCCGTAAACTGAGGAGAGAAGACAGTTCTCGATCATATATTTCATCTCCTCTGACGAGGATATGACGCGAATTGAGTCGGATATGGAGAAGCTATCCTCCGATTCACTTCTGTTCTTTGTTCCATGTGGGATGTCGCATGTTATGGAAATTATTAAGGTTGCTCCTGTGCACGCGAAAATTTTAACCAACCAAACATATGGTTGAACTTAGCACCACGAAACCGCTAAATAGTTAAAAACAATGTCGACGTTCTCCCGCTCTTACCCGTACTTCGACTCCCCACAATCCCCACAATAACCTAGTCAGGATATACATTATTAACATGCTCGGTAACTATCCCCTCGTCCGTCTTTTGTTGCACAATTAGCGTGGTATCACTAGGCGTAAAATAAAGGCATTTGTCAGCATGTCTCAACCAATAGGTTCACGCACTATTTTGTATGGGCTGCTATTGGTCACTACAGATCCACACTTTCGCGATTTTCGTGTAAGCAGAAAGTGCGTTGAGAATTCAGACCTACCTACATGCCTACCATGGAGCCCTACCCACCTGCAAATATGGAACCTACAGGGAATTCAGATGATTTTCTAGAATCCTGATCTTAATCTATGCATCAAATAACCAATATATTCTCTAGAATCTATGAAAAAGCCAGGTAGAACCTCTACAAAGTGAAAATGAGCAATTGAGGATGTCATTGCAGAGATACCACCTCTAGAATCAGTCAAAATTTCTTCCTCTAGAACCTAGTTCACGGCTGCCAAATCTTCATATTCCACCAGATGTTGGTGTTCAAAGCCCCTATGCCTTATTTACCTTATTCTTCTCTGAAGATTCCATTCATAATATTGTCAATTCAACCAATCTCTATGCAAAATTGAAGGGAGATGATGGAGATACTGATAATGAAGCTCCAGAGAGCTTTGGGAAGGATAAGAAGAAGGATAAGGAAGAGGAAATCCCTATGGAAGCTTCTGCAGAACCCTCTATATTTATGGAAACATCTAAGGAATTGAAGACCTCTATTCAGCAACATCCATTGGAAAAGAACACTTCAGAGGAAATAAAGGTCTTTTAGGAGCTCTTATCTATATGGGATTCATAAATCCATCTGGACTGATCATTATTGGAGGAATAATCTGAGAGAAGGTCCTATTCATTCAGTTCAATCCTATATGACCTTGAAATGTTTTGAGCAAATCAAGCGCTATTTCCATATATCCAACCCTCGAGAAGCTCGCCAGCCAGATTCTAAGAATAAAGATTGGTGGTATAAGATAGAGTCTTTGGCTTCTAACTTCCATAATGCCTGCCGGAAATATTACACCCCTGGCTCAGAGATTTCCATTGATGAAATCATGATTAGATGCTTTGATCAAAGTCAGCACACATATAAGATGCCTGCTAAGCCAATTCCTCAGGGATATAAGGTCTTTGGACTAGCAGAACATGGATATCTTTGGACATTTTCCTGGTCTAGCCGCCGGCAGGGCATAATGCCTATGTTTCAATTTCCAGGAATTACCAGAACTGGATCCATGGTCATGAATATGATTCAGCAGCTTCCTAAGATCCCTATTATTAGACCTACTGAGGAATCGGATACTAGATCCCCTACTGAGGAATCAAATACTAGACCTCCTACTGAGACTCCTATCATTGAAGCTTCTATCATCAAAGCTCTCCCTACTAGTGAAGCTCCTACTAGGCCTTCTGCTGAAGAGTCAGCTAATCAACAAGTCACTCCATACTCAATTTACCTAGACAACTACTTTACCTCTGTTCAATTATTCCACCTACTTTGAGAGCATGGCTATGGAGCTTGTGGGACTACCCGCTCTAATCAGGTTCCCCCTATTCTAGCAGAGCTCTGAGAGCATTCAAAATCAAAGACTATTCCATGGAATACTCTACATGCTATGGAAGTGAATAATGTCCTCTGTCTAGTCTGGCAAGACAATAATATGGTATTAGCTCTTACTACTATTCATTCTTTTGACACCTTCATTGAATGATTTCAAAGACAGTCTGGAGAACTCTCTATCAATGCTCATATAGTCTGCCCAGTCTTTGAGAATCAACCTAGGAAGAACCTTCAGATTCTGAGGATTATTGATGACTATAATCATAATATGAATGGAGTTGACCTAGCAAATCAGTATAGAGCTTCCTATAGCTCTCGTAGAGTGAGCTATCGGACCTGGTTGCCTATTTTCTATTGGATTCTGGATGCTGCTGTTGTCAACGCGTGGAGGCTTCAGTATATATATATGAAGCAGCAGGGAGTCTCTAGGCTACCTACTCATATAAGCTTCTGTGAGAAGCTCTATCAGCAACTCTTTGAATTCAATTTGAAGATCCATGATGATCTACCCCATGAGCGATCAAATCTAGAGCTTATTCATCAACAAATTTCTCTACCAAAGCCTACAATTTGTGTCTGGTGTTGATATATGCGAAAGCTAGGTCAGCAGGAGAGTAGACAAGCTCCTAGATCAAGATCTGGATGCTCAGCATGTAAGAATGTGGCTCTTTGCTTGAAAACTAGATGCTGGGAGGAATTCCATGGCATTGGCCAGAGCTGAAGAATCTATATAACGTAATTAGGCTTAGCTTATTATAATACACCAATACCAAATAGTACGCAATATTACACCATTTAGCCAATAATATCACGTATAATATACACTAATGAAATCGCGCTAATTGTGCAACAAAAGACGGACGAGGGGATAACTAGTTAACTAGTTAACTTAGTTAGTTATTCGTATTGGCTTTGAAGAATCTTCTCCTTGCAATGTCCTAATCCGTTAAGCCAGGACTCCTTCATGCCAGTAATTTGCTCCTCACTGTTGTTGCTGCGAAGGATTCACCGCCGCGATGATCGTCCGCCGTCAAATCAGCGGCAGTCCATTCAGCACCACCACGCTTCGACCTCGGTTTTTCAGCTAGCGATATCCCGTCTTTCTCGCCAAACTTTGCTCTTTTCATGATGGAGCTCCGGGCCTGCCAAGCTATTTGCCGAATGAATGCGCAACATAAAACCAAGAAACCTTCTCTCCGAACAACCCAACACTTTATTGAGGATTCAACGGGCGTCCATGAATCCTAACGCAGTGTCAGAATGACCACGAAGACCCTACCTTGATAGTTCTGCCAGACTCAATGATGATGAAAAGTTTGGTCATATGTAACTATACCACATGGCTTTTCCCCCTTCAATTTCGCCAATCAATCAATTCATTTCCGTCTGTTTCGTTAACCGACCTACCTCACTGGGCTTTGTGGATTTGGCCTAACTACTTGTCCACCACCTCCTGCTCGCTTTATTTTAATTAATAATAAAGTGGAAACTAACTAAGCCCAAAGGCCCTGGCGGTGGGCCAGCCGTTGCGCCAATGTCTGTTGAACTCGACGGAATATGGATTGATTCATATATATATATATATGGAGTGCTCGATGGGGTTACAGTTGAACGTGGTTTACAAGTTGAGCCCACTTTGTTAAATCCATAATCAACTGTCACTTCACCTAAAAGTGACACAGTTTTCATACTCTGAATCATACATCGCGTATTTCTCATACATCTCTATTCAACCTCGCCGCCCTCGACACCAGGGTTAGGGGTATGTTAGGAGTAGGATAAGGAATTAGGAGTTAGGATTACGGTTAGTTAAGGATGATGCCTCTGCAATGATTTTTCTTGTTGATTTGTGTACAGAAATCAACCAATTATCGACTGTTTCTTTTTTGCTTTAACTATTTCATTTCATGTTCTTGTTTTAAGGGAAACCAAATCTTCTTGAGTTATCTATATAACCCCCTTTTCCCCTCCTCATTTTCGGTAATAATATAATTTGTACATTACAATTTATATGCTTTAAGGAGAGGTTCTTGATGTCGAGTTCGCTAAGACAGTCTACTTCACCCAGAAGGAGACTTGCTCAGATTGCTGTTCATACCATGGGCACCATAGATACCTCCTCCAAGTCATACAATGACTGGCCAAACCATCAAGGAGTAAGTTGCTTTGTTCCGAAACCATCCCGCCCTGTAGGGTGGTGCAGTGGGATTCGCCATATGTCTATCACTAATAACCAGATCAGTTCAATTCCAGCTATGAAGAGAGGACTCCTGTTGAGCTCAAGGTGATCGGAGACATCCCTTCATGGGCAGCAGGCGTTCTGTATCGCACTGGCACAGGACGCAGTGAGATAGAAACCGAGAAGAAGGAGATCTACAAAGTGGCCCACTGGTTTGATGGCTTAGCTGTGGTCCACCGATTCCAGATTCTGCCTCCAGATGCGGTCCACTCTTCAGTCCGCGTGTTCTACAATTCCAGAAGCTCCTGTGACGGACTAATAGAAAATATCAGGAAAACTGGCTGCTCAAAGTCCATGTCATTCGGTGCGCGCTATGAACCCTGCACCAGCTACTTCCAGAAAGTCATGTCCCTATTTCGCCCCAGCCCACCCAGAACCCAGGCAGATCAGCAGTCTATGGCTATTACGGTCTCAGTCAATTTCCCAGGATTGGACCGCACGGGCAAGAAGAAAACCTCTGGACATGCCTCCGGTATTCAGACACTAGCCAACAAGACTGACTCTGCAGCCTTTCAAACCCTGGACCCAGAGTCCCTGGAACCTATCGGAGTGGCTTCGCAGCAAGTCCTTCACCCAGACTTAAAGGGGCCCCTATCGGCCACCCATGCCAAATCAGACCCAGTCACAGGAGACGTCTACAACTTCAACCTCAAGCTAGGGAGAAACCCTATCTATCGTATCTTTACCGTATCAGCTTCCACAGGTAAAACTTCCATTCTCGCAACTATTACTGATGCCCGCGCCGCCTACCTGCACTCCATATTCCTCACTGAAAATTACGTCATACTCTGCGTATGGAACTCTTTCTACACCGTAGGCGGCTTGTCAATCATCTGGCACCGGAACATCATCGACGCCATCGCTGACTTCGACGACTCCAAACCTTCCACTTGGTACATCGTTGACCGGCGCCCCGTCGACAAGGGCGGCAGGGGGCTCGTGGCCACTTACAAAAGCGACCCCTTTTTCTGCTTCCACACCATCAACGCATATGAAGAGCCATCGTCCGATGGTAGCAGAGACACCGACATTGTTGCAGACCTCATCACCTACGGGAACCTCAACATCTTAAAGCGCTTCTACTTCTCGAATATCATCTCCACCTCGCCTGACGCGGCGAAATACGCAGCAGGTGTCGACGACGCCAGCCGTCCCGTTTTCAAACGTTTCCGGCTCCTATCACTCCCACCATCCTCACCAGATGCCCCAAATGTGAAAAGCAGCACAAAAACCGCACGTGCCAAGTTAGAGTTCGAAGGTGAACCGGTCGACTCTCCCGAACTCCCGACTCTCAACCCTTACTACGTCACCCGCCGCCACCGCTACGTCTACGGCGTCACCGGCACCGGCAAATCGACTTTTCTTGACGGACTTGTTAAGTTCGATATAGAAACGAAACAAGCCGTACACTGGAGTGAATGGGGTCAGAATGCTGGAGAGCCGATTTTCGTCCCCAGGGAAAAAAAGCAAGTAGAAGGAGAAGGTGAAGGTGACGGTGAACTAGATGAAGATGACGGCGTGCTTCTTTCCGTTGTCCTCGATGGGCTAAAAGGGACGTCGTATTTACTTGTTCTTGACGCAAAGACCATGACTGAAGTTGGAAGGGCAGAGGTTGCAGGGCCGGTTGGGTTTGGGTTTCATGGCACTCATGTTCCTGTGACTGGCAGCGGTAGGGGATTGGATTTTTAGGCTCTTGGGTATTTCTACCCCCTTCTCATGTTTAATTTTGGGTCTTGTTTTATTTTAAAGACGTTGGCCTATTGCGCCTCTGTATGTCATTTCTATATGTATCTGTTTGGCGATTTTATGTATTTGATGATGCATACTTATCTAGCTACACCGCAGTATAATGAGGGTCTATCCCGGTCACGTCTTTCTCTTGTTGCCATCATTTATCAGACCTGAGGATGAGAACTAGGGATGGTGTGGGATGTCGTCTCTTTTTCCATTTTGAAGAATCTTCTAAATCCATGTCTATGATCCTTGGTTGCATATTACCTATGCCTTTATATCTTGTAAGCCGGGCATTTTTTGAGGGTACGTATTGCCCAGCTCAAGTTGCTGTCACCGTTTATTTCAGGAATACTATATAATCATTATATGAATCAAGGAGAACCGGGAGGTGGGGAGTTCCAGCGGCACTTTAACATGGATTTCAAACCATAAGCTTGTGGTTTCTGTTATACTATTATAAAGCTATTTGTGCTTATGTATATTTCGAGCAGATTGGATTCACGCATCTCTGAAGGTTCACTTTCGCATTTCAAGTTCATAGAAAATAGATTGAAGATATAATGCACGCTCCATATAATACCTATCTATTCAAATATCTAGACAACTAACATACACAAGATATCCAAGAGTCCCTTAGTTAAAAAGTGTGTAATTGTCCAATATCTAAGGATTCCCAACTGTAGATATCCGCTCTTCATGCAGCAATAAATCTATAGATGAACTTCTTTGCATGCCAAACAAACGTTGTTCCAATGACGAATATTTCAACCCCGTAATATTCAAACAGATTGCGGTGATAGAGTATGTACTGTACATACATATACATATACACATATACATACAACCCTGGTATGAGTTCCTCTGAATTGAGTTTCGACTGGGTCTATCGGCTTAGCACCCCGAGTATTGATGCAACATGGAAACAATGTTGTATATGACGGTAAAGCGAAGACGGCAGGCGATGAGAAAACGGGATAGATCTTAAGCGGGAACATCCTGTTTCCTATTGAAGGCACAATACGACATACCCGATCATCCTAGTCACCGACACAAGAAACCATCCCTTCAATGGGGGTGAGTGTCAAAGACTTTTCCTTTCGGTGTTGCTTACTGAGGAGAACGCAACTCAACGCTTCACCCTCGTCTTCTTCCTCTCCACTCTTTCGGTCTCCTTTTTCATCACCTTCCTTTTCCTAGCAGATGCAACGGCGGCGGCAAGCAGCAGCAGCAGCATCTGCCTCCTCCTTTCTCTTCCCCTCCCAAAGAGCCCTAATCCTCCTCACAGTTCTCCAGATCCTCTCCCTCATGTCCCCCTTCCCCACCCCGGCCTTTAACAACGCCTCATAATATGTGCATCAACGGCCAGCTGAACCCTAACCTCCTCATTTTGTACCGTGCCACTCCTCTCCACGCGCCATGAGCCCTACAGAAACGCATGGCCCAGCACCGTCTCCAGTGTATCTGTACGCATGGCTGGGAATTGAGAGCAGAGGAGAGTGCGGGCCTTCGAGATGTCTCGTGCGTCCTTTTGGGCGACGACGTGGTGCGAGCGGCAAGCGTGCTGGAGGCGGATTGGGTTATGGTGGCGTGGGTTTGGGAGGGGGCATCGAGGTCGAGGGTGCGGCGGGTTTGGGGATTCTAGATATGGACTTTATTAGCGATTTAGCGTCATAAAAATTGACGTGGATGGCCACGAGTTGTGAATATGTTCGAACTTACATAAACGGTATATACCATCTGTTTCGTCTCTCGTGAACGGCTTCGACAATTGCGAGTTATGTAGACATCTCCCTTTGGCACGAAGACATAGCCCGGAGGTGGACCTTGGGCGTCTGTTCGGATCTATATATCAGAATCAAATTCAGGTTCCAATGCTATTTGTCGAGCGTTTCAAACGAATTGGATTTAAAATGAACCTACATCTTCCAATGAAGCATACCCTAGTTTTTCCTTGACAGGATTCTTTTCCTCTAAGGGTCTGCGAAGTTCGCGGGGATAGAACTAGTTCTCAGGCCTGGAACATCTCTTTTCTCCGGTCTGACTTTAAAACTCGTGTCTTTTTTCTAGGTTGCTTCGATGTGCCTCTATTGTTTCCCAGCTTTTGATTCTGGGATCGTGATGATGACGGGCTCTTTGGGTTGCCAGACGCTTCCTCTGAGGCGATAGTGAGAATAACGAGTGAGACTGGTTGTGCAACATGTTACCATATGGAACCCCAAGTCAAGGGCAAGATAGGTCCTTTTCGTTTCTTGTTTTCCTTTTCGTGTTGGCTGTGTGTTTTCGTTCATTGACAGTGAGTGTCGAGAGAAGCGTGTAGGGGAGACAAAAGGGTGGTTTGGTGCTTTCAGCTAGATAAATGTGTGTGTGGTTTATGACAGAGGAAAATCAGCAGGCAAGAGTAGGGTTATCATTCCCAGGTAACTAGTTGAACAACTAAGTTACAGAGTTTAGAATCAAATCTACTCCTCGTTTGTTTTGCTTTTTCCTCATCCAGAATCTAGCACCCGAGGCGGAAACTAAATAAAAAAAGGGGATGAGATGTGTGAATCATGTGATTGATACCATTTCAGTATCTGGTGGATAGAATAACTAGTTATCGCTGATACATGTAACTAAGCCATTCCCCAGCCTGAGATAATAACTAGTCATGGGGAGAAGGATAACAAGGTGGCATAGACGTAGTTACAGCATTACTTTCGTTCCTTCAGGAGTCCTTCCTCATCCATATTATCCCATATTGCATAAATACCAAGGTGGTTCTGCATCCAGCCGCAACGAAAGGAGAAGTTCTTGTATTTCCTGGATGCATTGATTGCGGATATGAAAACGCTGTGCTTTTGGTTGGAGTGGCCCTCTCACTTTCGGCTCCCGCTTCATAATCCATCATCCTGTAAATAACTAGTTATTATGTACAAGACATGTTTGGTTAGGAAAAGTGGGGTTGTATCCCGAAGGAATCATATGGAGAGGTTCTTCAATTAAACCCCTCCCGAACGTTCACTTGGTGTCAGTGCGAAAGGCGCGGAGCGGGAAGCATCCATTTCTTTCATCCCTTGATCGATAGAGTCCTGGCAGTTATTAATGATGATTTAACGTCGAAGGTAAAGGTTTTCTGGATGGATTGGGATTATCAATTCGCGGTATTGTTTGGAGAAGCGCTGCCAAAGAACAATGCAAGCCATTCCCTCGTTCGAGTCGGGGGGTTTGATGTCCTTATATAAATATTTAACGTTAGTTAATGTTGGAGCCTAGGCTTCCCATTATGGACTAGCGCACCGCACAATAGTATATAGCGCTACCAATACAACCACTTCAAATGTCCAACAGGTTATGGTCCAGATAGCTTGTTTTCTTATTGAAGAGTCTTCTGCACTACTTCCACACCCTATTTCTTCTTCTTCTTCTTCTTCTTTAATCTGAGGTATAAAACATCTCACAAAGACTGCATTACTGAATTGCAGCAAGAACCTGATGAAAAGTGACTGTTTTAAAAGTTTTGATTATAGGAAACAAATTGAATTAAGAGGAGGTAAACAGATGTCTTCAAGAACATGAGCTGCAGAATCATTGGATACCCCTGCAAGCAACAACATGAATAGAGATGAACATAAATATGATACATCTACCTCTGAATCTAGAGGAGAAACTAATCAAAGAGATGAAATAAATATGAATGAAAATAATATAAATATAATATAAATGATGATGAAATATATAAAAAGATAGAATAGACAGATGGAAAAACTTATATAAAAACTAGAAGAAAACTTAGATTTCTTGTCAAATACTACTAAGAATTTCATTAAGAATAAAGTTGATGAATTTTGCAAAGATGCAAAGATCAAATTGAAAGAAAAACAAACAGTTATTCTTACTGAAGTCAACTATCTAAAATGAAACAACTTTATTTTTACAGATATTTATTTGATTCAGATAAAAGATGTTTTCAACAAACAACAAACAGCATCTTCTATCACAGTTTCTCTGAAAATTGAGTTTTAAAATAAGAAAAATGAACTTTTTTATATAAAAATTCTTTAACTTTTAAATACAACTATATATAATTTTCTAGAATCACTGAATGAAGATTTCTATCTAGTAGTAACTATATGAAAGAATTTTATTCAGCACTATACTATATCTCATGCAGAAGAATGTCTTCAAATTATTAAAAAGTTAAAAAACTTACAGCTTAAAAACAATAATTTTCATATCTATTTTATAATTTTTTAAAATCTAAAGATAAAACTTGTATCTATAGATGAAAATTGAGCTGAGAATATCTATCATAATCTATTCATATTAGAACTGAGAGATTGATATTAGAAATTTGTGAGAATAAAACTAAATGATTTTTATACTATCAAGTAGAGCTCTATTCAGAATCTGAATTTTGATGAATTAATGAATTAGTTGACTACTCATGTCACTATCACTATAACTCATTTCAACTTATCTGCTATGAATGCTGACGTAAAATAATTTGATGAACGTTAATACCACTACTATGAGAATATAATATATATAATCAAACACTACTAATTTAAGAATTTAAATCTTATAAATATTGAATAACAGAAATATAAGAAGAAGTGCATTAAGATATTTAAAAATAGAGATAGAAATAAGATTAAGAATAGAGATAAGAGCAAAGATAGAAATATAGAGAATCTACAATCAAATCAAGTATTTTTTATAATAATTTTTTTAAATATTGAAGAACTTTTGAGAAGTCAGTCAAACTATAAATAAAATAAGAAAAGAATTTAATAAATACAGTAATTGAAAGACAAGATAGATTAATAGAGAAGATGAATATAATTGATTTGAGCAGAACAGTAGCTAGTTTATATAATAGCTAGTCTGTATAGTAGCTAGTTCAAGAAAAGATATTGAAGTCTAGACTTTTTATTTTATGAACTAGTGCACTGCATAATAGTATATAGTATCTCTGAGATAAACTATCAATATAATCACTTTAGATCTTTAACAGTTAACTAATTATGCTACTATGCAATTAACACCTCATGTGAGTGCATCACATCAAAATAATAAAAACATCAAAATGATAAAAATCTTATAATTTTATCATTTTTATTATTTTCATCAATTAATAACTCATTACAATGTTAAATAAAAATAAAAATATTAAATATCATATTTAAAAAGCTGTCACTTATCATAAAAAAAATTAAATTTCAAAATACTGTCTCTGTTATGAGAATTTGAGATTTCTTATCAATATCTATAAGTATATATCAATGAAAGAAATCTCAATACTGTAAAGATTTCAGTTAATAAGAGATTAAATAGAAGTTAGAAGAACATGATTAAATAATAAATCAAGCTATTTAATGAAAAGAATTATTCTCTCACAGCTGAACACATTGAAGATTTTGAAAATTCAATGCTTAGAAATTAGTATATAGATTTTATTATCTTTTCTTCAAAACTCAGCAAGATATGAACTTATAGATTTATTGAACATCTATTTAAATATAAAAGAATGAAATAGAAGTTAATAAATTCAAAGAAAGTAATAGTTAAAGATATTGAATATATTAATACATGATTTAAATATCTTTAAATTTTGTTTAAGTAGTATCAATTTCACATCTGTGATATATATAACTTCAATGAAATTAAATTTCAAAAAGAATAAAAATGTGAAGAATGAGTTATAACTATTTTTAAAGAAGCTACTTTTATTATTTCTTTATTTTTTTAAAGAGATTTGATTATAGTCATTGAATATATATTCATAAATAATCATATTATTCTATTATTAATAATTTTAATCTTTATAATACATTTGAAGAATTGATATACATAGATAGATTTACTCAGCAATTATAAAATTACTATATCAGGTAGTGAATTTACAAATAATAAGATTGAATTTAAATAACTCAAACATTTCAATACTGCTATAGAAAAGAGATAGAAGAGAAGTTATCAATTATTTTTAATAAATAATCATAAATCTGATATCACTGAGAAGCTTATACAATATATGAGTTTTTATAAGATAATTTTATATGAATTTTTATCATATATCATTTATTTACTACAATTTCTGAATAGTTTATCATTTCAGCAATATAAATATTATCATTCAAAAGCAGTTAACTATACTGTATATTATAATTTTGTTAAGTATGAAAAATAATAATTTCTATAAAATCTCTCAGCTATATAAAAGCAGATCTTTAAATCTGATACAATAACTGCACAATGAGCTCAATGTGACATATATTCATTGAATTCTGATTAAGTTCTTGATACTTTTAAGTAGTGAATCTCATCATCTTCTTCACTGCAGATTTATGAAGATGAAAATAATTCAGATTATATATTTATCTCTTCTTCTCAGTTATTCTCATCAAAGATAATTTAAAAGCTGAAACATCATATTAGTATTGTGAAAAATATCATATAAAGTATTAGAGATACTCTTGATTTGAAATTACTTATTTTGATATGTCATTTGAACAAGATATTTAAAGCAAGTCTAATTCACATAGAGTTTAATAAGTAATAAATTATTGAATTAGAGAACTTTCTCAATACTAATAAATACTGCAGAGCTAAAACAATCCATCATCAGATTCAAATAGAAAAAGTTCTCACTATTAAAGATGTCAATAGAAAAATCAAGCAGTATAAGAATAATGAAGCTGAAAAAGAGCAGAATAAGATATGATTGAGACTTAAAGTTAATTTCATAAAAATTGATAATAACTCACTCACATCACTGACAGAAGAGGAATTAAATCAATTCAAAGATGACACACATACTGAGAATGATGTTGATAATCTTTTTTATTATAGATTAGCTACTGGTTGTTGATATAAAGTGCAATAACAAGGATGTGATTCAAGATTTTTATCATTTTGGTTATTTTATCATTTTGTTGTGGTGCACCCACACAATGTG